TATAGGATTGTCTTTAGTTCAAAAACTACCTTAAAGTTCTGAGCGTTAAAATCGGACCGCGCGAGGGTCTATTATATTTCCTTTCCTTTATAACTGGTCAAGAATTGGCATTTTAATTGAAATTATTGTAAACATTCATTGGTATTGATCATTGCTCGTGATGGCCAGCTGTCATAAGAACACAAATTTCTATCCCAAAGTTATGCTACTTTCCTCCTTTTAAAATAGTGTGATGTGATGTGGGTACCCAGTGAGAAATTGTTTACAACTTTGGAAAAGAACAGAAATGTTCTTGTTTTCAACTGCAACTCAATCATGAACGTTTAGACCCTTGAAACTGGCAAAACTCGGTCGGCAGAGACAAGACACACTACGTATCGATAAACCCAGTTTTTGAAATGCTCAGAGCACATTCAGTTTCCAAATGTTTGAGAAATTGATAGATTGAAACATTTTTCTCTTTATATTTTTTGGTGTATGAAAAGTTTTAGTACTGAGAATTTAATTTCAAATACCTCACTCATAAAATAACTGTCAGCTCCCCCCCCCCATCCCGCTCAAAAAGGGGAAAAATTGCTAACGCATGCATTTTACAAAACAGCAACAACAACAACATTTTATAAAACATCTCCTTACGCAATGATTGACTCAAAATAATTCATTATTATGAGGAAACCGAAATTTCCTGCTAATTCAAAATGTCGGTCCCTCCTCAAATAATAAGCTTTTACTCAAATCCAAATTTTATTTTTAGAGATGACTTGTGTAACTCATAGGGTATTCCATCCGACTTTGTAAAAGTCTGAGAGGATTTTTACACTTTTCCATGTAATAACAAGTGAAATTCTCGCGACTTGAGCAAATCGGAAGTCTGTTTTAACACCGAACGTATTACATTTCTCAGATTTTAATTGAAGCGGCACGTGAAAACCGTGACTTTTGACGGTTTGGAAAATCAACTTCAACTGATCAAAAATGACGCGTGTGATTAAATTTGAAAAATTTTACACATTCGGGCTCACTTGTGTGCTGGCAAGCTGATTTCCATACCAACTAACTCAATTTTTCGTCTAGGTACTTCTGCCAAGGTAACTGTTTTTCATTTCTTTTATCTTACGGTGGATTTAATGGTTTACTCATCAAAAAAAAATTCACTATGTTGAAGGATACTGCTCAATTTTTGACACTTTATCGGCACTGTGAACACTTATTTTTCTGTTTAAATTAAATTTTCTTAAAAACCGACTATATATACCGATTTTATATATACCGATTTTATATATACCGATTTTATATAACCGATTATATATAATCGGTTTTTAAAAGAGTTTAATTTAGACAGAAAAATAAGCAAAAAAGAATTGCATGTAAAATTGTTTATGGGTTTCTTGAAGTGCGAATGTTAGCGCTGGTAAAAATTGGCAGTAGAATCTGTGTTCCAAAATACCATAGACCTACAGTCGGCTGTAAGATTTCCAATAGCCTCTATGGCCGGCAACACAATTTCTCATAGCCTTTTACAGACGATGGTGACTAAGCAACAGCCTGGCGATAAAGTGTATGCTTAACTTTACTAATTATGGATGCTAGGACTTAGTGAGTTCTTGGACTACCGCTCTTTTTTTGGGCCGAAGTATCTTGATTTATTTTGCAAAGAAAGCTCCGTACTTTTGAAGGATGCCTACCATTCCTAATATGTTGGAACGCCTTCAATTTCGTATGATACTGTGCAATACCTCTGGTGTGAAATAGTTGCTTCAAGCGCCGTGGTACGCTGCGGCGCGGCGGGTGGGCAGCCAGCGCAAAACGCGCATTGGCGCATACAAACCTAACAGGGATACTTCACGCATTACGCAATGCGTGAGGTATACCTGTTAGGTTTGTAGGCGCCAGTGCGCCGCGCCGCGCCGCTCCGCTTTGTGTTAGGCTCTAATATGTATTTAATCTCGTGGAGTCAGCGTAATTCAACTCATTACTTTGAAATGTATGCACATCCTGTATGGATTATTCTCATTTTAATTGATGAAAAAAAATATGTAGTAAAGGAAAATATAATGTGCGTTTTGTAAATACTTAAGGTGATTCCGAACAAACTTAAGGATTTACAAAGCACACGAATTTCTACACAATTTCTTATAGCCTTTTATAGCCGATGCATGGCGAAAAAGCAACAGCCAGGCGATAAAGTGTAAAGCCCGGCGACAGGAACTATAGCCCGGCTGTTTACTTTTTTATCGCTTCACGTAGCCCGGCCCTCTGATTTTTTCCACTTTCTACAGCCAGCTGTATGATTTTTTATCGCCTGCTTCAGTCGGCCATAAGAACTCCTATGGTATTTTGAAACGCAGCTCCTATCGCCAATTTTTACCAGGGAGCGCTGCTAAACGGGGAGTTCAACAGCGTGTTCCATTTACTGATGGTTTTTAAATGAGCACTGTCGGTGTTCATTCAAACAAAGGCATTCATGAAGGGAAGGAAATTAGTGAATACTCGAAAATTAGGTATTTTTTATATCATCTCTAAGACGATAGTTCGCGATTAATGTGATGCAATTAACACGCAAATTAAAGGCGCTGCGTCGTTAAACTTTCGGGAGATATTGTATAAAATCGACAGAAGAATTGAATCAGTGAGAACAAAAACACACCAACTCGAAAAAAATGAATATAATCAAGGAACATACAAAACTGCACAGTAAAAGTTAGTCTAGGAAAAAGATGTCTGGTGCAGAAAGACAAGCATTCAACGCTACTTTAAAGGTCCAAGTTAGAACAGATGCGCTAACTTCAATGACCTTTATAAAGTTGCCGAGTTGGTGTGTTTTCGTACTCGCCAGTGGCGTGGCGTGAATTGCGATATATCGATTGTTATGCCATTTAAACCTATGGAAAAGGATCGATAAATAGGGCTTTCGCAGCGAACACCTTATTAATCGATTCTTTACCATAGCTGCAAATGGGGAAATATCGACATATATCGAACCACGCCACGCCACGCCACTGGTACTCTCTGATTCAATTAGGCTCTCCTTTATTTCTGCAATTATGCAATTGTCATAGCTCAGGAGGCAAAATAATTGTTTCGTGAAGTTTAGTCTCTTGTCGCTACGTTTTGGGAGGAACAGTTGCGTTATGGAGTTAGGTTTAAGAGTTTACTATTCTCGGAATAATCGGAAGTATTTTGAAAAACCGTAATATTGATGGTTTCCGTCAGTTTTTCAACGAGGACCGAGGGACTGCTTGTCCCTTGGTCCCGGACTGGGACTATCTCACCGTGACAGTTATATAGTACCTGTATCACTGATATAACAAGTGATGAGGCACCTGTATAAGTGTTCACAAACCAATATTTACGAAACTATCATCACATCAGATCGACTGCGACAGTTTAAAATGAGCAGAAAAGTATGCTTTTTACCTCTAAATCTATGTCATGTCGACAGCATCTTACCCTCTTTCAGCTGGTTTTCGGAACGCAGATCATGGCAATACATCTCGATTTTGTCAATGATGATTATAATTTTTTACCCGCAGATCGTCTATTTGAAGCGTTAGGATCGAGTTTTTTTTTATACTTAATCTTTGGAAGAAATTGATTTAGTGTACTTACGATATTTCCGCTGATATTTTCGCCGATATTTCGGCGATCACAGACACCGTCGACGGTTGATATTATTCCCATCCTGAAGCTTAAAAGGCAATTGTGAGTAACATCAGCTTCAACTACTTAATTTTTCGATAATCACAACCAGGGCCGGATTTACCTACTTGCCGCCCATGGGCCGCCTGCATCTTGCCGCCCATTTCTCATTCGTTTTGAAACATCAATAAAAACCATCTAATGAACGTGCCAGCGGGGGAGGGGTGCATAAGACGCGTTTACTCGTGTTGGACACATTTTTTGGGAAAGCCCTGTCAACACTACCAGCAAAAGTTCACGGAACTTTGCGTGAAATTTAAGTTTCGTAAACCTATCTCTTTGTCGACAAGGCCTTCCATTCATAAGAAATGAACGAGAAAATAATCATGAAAGAAGAAACATGAATGTGGTTCAATGATTTTAACTTCCGCTGCGCCGCGCCGCGCAGACAGCACCGTGTTTGGCGCAATGCGTGAAGTATTCATGCATTCTTGAAGGCGCTATCCGTTTCACGCTGACCGCAGTCACCGCACTGTGTTTGATGCAATGCGTGAAGTATTCGTGCAGTCTTGTAGGCGCTAATGTGTGTTACATGCCGATCGATCGCCGCGCCGAGGGGTTCTCCTTTTCATCTCAAGTCCTCGTCATCATTTCTCTCCAAGTTCCGGGCCAAATTGCGTGTTTGGTTTCTATCTTAACTCGACTAATTAAAGGTGCTGTCACTTGCATCACTGAAAGACGACAAAATTAGAAATTACTGTACTCTCAGGAAATGAGAGATTTTGTCGCCTTTTTTCGTTTGTATTTTTTTTTCTAAATCCGATTTTTTTATACACCTACATTTAAAATAAATTGCAAAATGTGCCGCCCCCCTAGATTTGCCGCCATGGGCCGCGGCCCATGTGGCCACCCCCTTAATCCGGCCCTGATCACAGCCAAATTCTTCAGTGCTAGCTGAATGCCGGAAAATCAAACAAAAAAATTCGGTATTTCAATTTATTATTCCCAAAAGACGCGCACGGCTCCTTAATTTTTTAAACCATAACATTGTTTAGATTTTCTCCGCCTCATATTGCCTCATATTGCGTTATCCATATTGCGTTTCTCAATTCAAACCATCAATATTGGTGCACCATTCCACAGAATTGCACGTTTTATCCTATGGGTAATGTTGTTCCAATGTTGATGCAATATCCCCTTTTAATATTATGCCAGGGATTTTGAAATATTGAGTCAATATTTATGCAGTATTGCTTTGCATCAGAGCGAGTCAGTTCATGAACTTTTCGTAGCTCTGCCGATAATTTTTTTCCGCCTTGGGCTATCTGTTAATCATAATTTTATTTTTACACTTTCCTCAGACTGGAATGGCAGGAGATTATCTCAATTCAACGCTTTTTGTGGATCAAATTTATGGTTTTTACCAATGGACTCAGTCATTATCAGGTAATTATTTTCCTATCGCTCATGTTCCGCTTCCTGCGCCCATGAGTTGAGTTCTTGGTCCCTCATTTTCTTTCTAATTTTTAATAGTTTTCTTGTACCTTTATTATTTTCTTTGAGAACCAAGGAGCTGTGTACAATTATGAAAAAAAATAAAAAAGTTCATTCTTATGAAAATATTGTCCGTCGCAAAGCATGAAATTTTAAGTCGATGAGCAACAGGCGGTATGACGGTAAAAATGCAGGAACGCGATCCTCGGTTTCACGACGTTGCAGACTATTTGTCATAATTCATTTTTTTTTTAATACTCAACTTCTTTGTTGAGAACTTCCTTTTTTTCTTCTCTGTGTGAGGGAAATTATAGGATCTTTGAAAATTTCAAGCAACAGCGTTGATTTCTTCTCCTTTCATAAAATTAAAGGAGAAGAAATCAACGCTGTTGCTTGAAATTTTCAAAGATCACAAGATTTTCTTCGGATATTTTAAAGTAATTTTCATGAAAATTGACCCCTAAAATTGTGATCGTTAAAATAATTTCTATATTTTGAATCATGCGTTTATCCACGAAGGCAAAGGAGTGTTTTTTTTCTAATGTGTTATTTTGAAAATCCTCGTAGATCAAGATTTTTGACTTGATACTCATGAGAGACTGAAAACCAAGGTTTCCTAAGGGGGCTACGCTCATTGAAACTTTAGCGAATTGATATCGAATATAGTCATATTGTAATGAGTAATTGCAATGAAATTGAAACTAGTTGCAATTTTTCGTAGCATTTCCAATCGCCTATCTTTTCTGAGCATTTGATCGGTTGAAAAGTGGCATTTACTTTCAGCAAATGAACATATTTATGCTAAAAGGTACCAGAGATTGGTGGGGAAAAAGGAATGCGCTTGTTAGCTGCGAGCCATAAGAGTGAATATGGGAATTATTAAGCGCCAGTGACGTCAGCGGCGACAACCGGCCTCAGTGCGACGATGAGCTCGACGGTTATGGGCTTAAACTCATGAGCCCTGTCACAACGCTCTTGTAACTTGCCCACGGCTCATGAGTTAACATATTTTTGACGCTTAGTTCCTTTTGATTAACTGTAAATTCCCACATCGTGAGACACTTTCAAGAGCGATAGTCGTCGGAAAGAACCTGAGAAGAGGATGATCTTTGCGAAGGGGGGAAAAAATGAAAAATTAAACACTATGCAACCCCAATCCACTGATTAAGTTTTTGTGTTTTCACAGATCACAGGACGAAAGGATGGCTGATGGTGGACTCACCGGTCCCAACGTTCGTTTACACGACTATGTATCTGAGTATAGTGTGTATAGGACCCAGGTTGATGCGGGACAGGCGGCCTTTCAGGCTCAACTGGCTCCTCCTCCCTTATAATTTCGCCATGGCTGCCCTGAATTTGTACATCGCAATAGAGGTACCTTACAATTTATTTCTAATAAATGCCAAATGAGCAATGAGGCTACGAGACAACTTCATTGTAATCACGGAGGAAAACAATCGTTGCTCCAACAAAGTTCATGGTGGATTCTAGGTCTCATCAATTTTTCTAGGGATAGTTAAAACGGCACTTTTGGCATTTGCTTCGATCTTGGCAAAAATTCAGCATTGTAACCGTAACCAGCAACTTCGGAGCCCACGCTGTACAGATAGCAATATATTGCAAGTTGGTGATTAAATTTTTGCCACTGCAGTGACGTGTTGCGTGCGTTGCATACATTTTAATTGAAGGGGCTCCGCTTATCGAAATTCATTGCGATAAAATTAAAATAATTAGACATTGTTCTTTGTATTGCAAACCGCATGTCCATCTGATGCAACAAACTCACTTAATTAATCGTCTGAGATGGACATTTATCAAACAAATGATGAAAAATACTGCAATGCCATTCTAAGTTTCATTTTATTTTATTTAATTCAATGGCAACTTTATTTCAATATTTTCGTCACACAATGCTTCTCGGGAATTCCGACTAGGAAATTAGAAAAGTACGTTAGATTTTGAATCCACTGCAAGCACCGTGAAAGCAAAGATTCATTTTTCTCTGTGATGCACCGAAGTTTCAGCTAACAAATTATAAGTCTTTTTTATTCAATGACAAGAGGTATTTTGATGGGAAGCATTTTGAAGGGATTTTCTCAAATCACAAAGAAAATATTCAGAAAAGAAATAAAAAGTGCACAAAAACTTTTAAAAGTAATAAACCCTTGCAAAAATCGACCTTTTCAATGAATATTGGCGCAAGTCAATGCGATGTGGTTTAAATGAAAACTTCCAGGCGAAATATCTGCCGGAGGCAGCATTTTATTTGAACAATGCAGCGTGTCTTAATGGTTTTGACTTGTTGATAGCCTCAAACCTTTGTTACGAAAATTCAATTATAACCCTGAATACCAATCCATCACCATCGCGTGGTAATAGCAGCGTGCAGGCCAAGGAAATGGCCCTTCAAATTAAGTTTTTGTTTTTGTTTTTGATATAACATATTTATTAGTTTAATTACAAGTTACAACCAATTAAGACAGTAGTTGGCGAGAAGGCCTATAGTATACAGTCTAATAAGAAAAGGAATAAGGACATAACTATGATTCATAGTGATATTGTTACAGGATTATTGGAAGAGGTGAAAATACTTATAGAGATTAATTAATTAAAACTATAATTAATATTTACACTAGGTTTGGGTTACAACACCTTCAAATTAAGTTGCACCAACACAGCTTGATGTATTTTATGTCCCATACTTTCCAATTTATGAATAATTGTCTTCCTGGATCCTGAATCAAAGTTGAAGGAGGGACAGTGATTTGTTCAGATTTTTGATTGTTCAAAAGCACCAACCACCTCTAAGAAAAGAATGGCATACTGCTGTCATTTGTGCAAACAACTTGGAGGGATGCTTCACTGTACCCCTCCCGCTCGATAAAAAAAAAGAATCACATCGGCGATTTTCCTAGCCCATTGCCCGATATCAGGCTAAAAATTGATTCTCTTAATGTGCTTCAATTAAGTACAGTTTTTTCATTTTCAGCTCCTCATTGCCTCGACAAGACTGAGGTATAGCTACGTCTGCCAGCCGGTGACTTTCGTAAATAGTGAAGAGGAACTTCGGGTAAGGATTTTCGTGATCTATTTTTATACTTCGTTTCACTCGAAGAACATATCGACGAAACGTGAAACCACCAAACCACGTATCTCGGTTTGCGACGTCGCAGACTTCGTGTCATTCTCAATCTTTTAAATGGAAAACTATTCGACGTCAATTTTTAATAACTTCAGGGAACGTTTGTGCGAAGAAAACTCTTCGAAAAGTCCAAGGAATGATATTGACTTGGTCCTCTTCAAAAAAATTAAATTAGAGCGGAGATTTTTCAACACCGCAAACGAGATACACGGTCCGGTAAATGCACCGTCGATATTTTGTTCGTCCACGGGAAAAGAGACCTTCGTGAATGGAGGTTTTTTTTCGGATTACGATTTTTTTTTTCAAGTTAAGTCGGAAGGCGGACTTTGAATTTTTGACTGAAAACACTCTCCAGTATCTCGAGAAACAACTTCTGAGTGTGTTGGTTCTTTTACAGACTCATGTAAGATGTGAAGTTGTATTTTAATCGAACGATTTTGATCCTCGAGGATAACAAATTAAAGAGCCAATTAAGACCGGAATTTTGTATAAGCACGTTGAAATCCGCCTTAGCTTGAACCATCTTGAGGGTTCTTAATGTGAATCTCGATACCTACAGCTGAAAAAAGATTCTTAGTCAATGCATGCAGTTTTTAGGAGCATCTAAGACCGAAGGGTTTGAGCCAACTTAAAAGTTCCTAGGATTGAAATATTTATAAATTAGTATCATTATAATAGTAAGTAGAAAGAAATCTTTTTGAGTGAGGAAATTTTAATAGATTACGCAAAAATATTTCAACCCTGGTAAAGGCGATCAGCATGATTTCATGTTAAATCAGTATGATAGCATGCTACCTCAACGTGTAATGACATGTCCGCCGACCAGCGACCGCACTGTTAGGCGCAATGCGTGAAGTATTCATGCAGTCATGTAGGCGCTCCTATGCGCTCCGCGCCGACCGGCGAACGCACTGTGTTTGGCGCAATGCGTGAAGTATTCCTGCAGTCTTGTAGGCGCTAATATGCATTTTGCGTCGACCGTCGGCCGCACTATGTTCGGCGAGATTAGAAACGACGACCCAATTCACATTATGATATCATGCTGATCAACTTTACCGAGGCAGGGGAATTTCAAGGAGCGTCGCACAAAATTTTGGCCACCTTTTCGCCTAGATAGTTTCTTCTCAGAACTACTGTTCCAGAGAAGGAATTCAGACAGAGTAAGTGGTAGTACCGTTTCGAAAATCAATACCTCAAGAGACTCTGATTCCTTGTACCATAATGTGGGGTAACACTTCTCTGCGTTTAGAAAGTTTTTGGTTTATCGACGATGAACCTCCCCCCCCCCTCCATGGACTGTCATATTTCTCCATTTTTTCCAACATAAACATTGAAACATATTTGTAATCTATTATGATACAGATAGCGAACGCTGTGTGGTGGTACTACTTCTCGAAGTTGCTGGAGTTCTGCGACACGTTCTTTTTCATTCTTCGGAAAAAGGACAACCAGCTGACGTTCCTCCACGTGTACCATCACTCGACTATGTTTGGGCTCTGGTACATCGGCATCAAGTGGGTGCCCAGTGGGTCCACCTTCCTCCCGGCCATGGTCAACAGTTTCATCCACGTCCTCATGTACTCCTACTACGGTCTCACCGCCCTCGGTCCCAAGACTGCCAAATACCTTTGGTGGAAGAAGTACCTCACCATACTTCAATTGGTCAGTTTTTGATGTACATATTTATTTCATCGAGTAAAGATTAAACATAATAAAAAAAATTAATGACCCAGGTGATGTGCTTGATGTCCATTATTAAAGAATTAAAGGCATTTTTCAAAATTTACAGTCTTTCAAAATGAGCTTTCCGTGTGATTTTGCTAAAAATGGTCAATTTAGCGTAGCTCCCCCCCCCAAATTTTAGCGTACCCCAAAATCATTTGACGTGCATAAGGAGACCATAGATTTGGTGTTCTGTGCCAATTTTGAATGAAATCGAACAGATAGATTCTGAGATATCGCTGCACACAGATTTGGAGGACGTCGGACGGACGGACACACATTTTTTCAAGTATGGTTATTTTGACTCCTGGGACCTTAAAACGTCTAGAAATGATGAAATTTCAACTTTTTTTCTTCTTCTTCTTGGAGGATGACAATACTTCCTCTCTACCTTAGGGGAGCGAGAAAGTAAAAAGAGGTTGTTCCAAAAACGCCGATTTTGGCCCCCCCTGGATTTGGCCCAAACTTTGCTCAGATGTTGTACTAAGTGTCCCCGATGCTTGGGCAAAATTTCAGCCCCCTCGGATGATTAGGGGGGAGGGGGCAGGGGGGCAAAGTAGCAATTTTTTCAAAACTTTAAAAATCGATATCTCGCGAACGGTTTGAGTGTAAGTGTTGCGGTTTGCGCTAAAAAACGTTAAAAAATATTCTCTACACGAATATTGATGCTGTTTGCATGGTTGCGTAATTTATCGTAGTTATAAATCGATTTTTTCGATTTTGAAGGTTCGACTTTTTTTCGTTTTTCGTCTCTCCTCTCCAGGCGATCGTTGCTATGTGAATAAAAACCAATTTTGAGTGCAAAACAAAACACACAAACTCTCCATGCCGCCCTTGGGGAGTAAAGAGGGGGTCACGATCCCTAAAGTCGGGAGACATTGTGCCTCCCTCTTTTACCCCCCAAGGGAGGGTAGGGGGGCTTCGGGACCATGAAATTCGGATACCTTGGGGTCAATTCCCTGTTTAACCCCGCGGTCCCCCATTTCGTACTACCTAAACCAACCGAGAAAAAGACCTGGTACGGGTGGTCCGGGACACCCTGTATAACGAAGTATAAAAAACATAGTTATAGGAGAGGAAGGGTGGGGGAAGGAGAAAATATCAATAATTACAGCCTACAGCATGAATATAAGGCCCTAGCAGTGAAACAACCTCTGCCTCGCCCGGGGGGGATGGAGCGCCGCCGATATGCCGCCCGCGCGTAACCGGGAACGCGCAGAAAAATCGCTATAACTCAAGAATGAATCGTTTCCCCAAGGTCAAACAAAATGTGGTAGATGCAGAATTTTATAGAAAATCACCTCAACTGGTTTTTATTCACATAGCAACGATCGCCTGGAGAGGAGAGACGAAAAACGAAAAAAAGTCGAACCTTCAAAATCGAAAAAATCGATTTATAACTACGATAAATTACGCAACCATGCAAACAGCATCAATATTCGTGTAGAGAATATTTTTTAACGTTTTTTAGCGCAAATCGCAACACTTACACTCAAACCGTTCGCGAGATATCGATTTTTAAAGTTTTGAAAAAATTGCAACTTTGCCCCCCTGCCCCCTCCCCCCTAATCATCCGAGGGGGCTGAAATTTTGCCCAAGCATCGAGGACACTTAGTACAACATCTGAGCAAAGTTTGGGCCAAATCCAGGGGGGGGGCCAAAATCGGCGTTTTTGGAACAACCTCTTTAGATAGAAAGCTGCCGTTGCAGTAAGTATAGCTGTGATATTTTTCACAATTCAGATTGAGAGAGACGCCCTGTTTAAGCCCCTTTTCTAATTATGGGAAAGAAAGTAGTGGTAGTCGTTAAATACATCTTACTTTAAAAGGTGCCCTAATTCAATGGTTATTGATGTTAACACCTTCGTGCTGAAAATAAATGGTTTCAAATAGAAGGAATTCAGACAGAGAAAGTGGTAGTATTACTTAACACGATAATTTTATTTTACCAGGTGGAGTACCTAACTTCTTTCTGAATATTTACACCTTGAGGAGAAAAGAAAAAAGAAAGATTAAAGAATCGCAAAAATTTAAAGAACGGAGAAGAAACAAAAAAATTATGTAAGCTTAAAAGTACAACGAATGGGTTTTTTTTTCTTCTAGTGAAATGAATATATTGTCGTTGATACTAATTAATGAAAATCATTTCTTGATATTTATCGATTAATTTCGAATACTTTTCGAAACATAAAACTCCAATTCAGCTGCTAAATTAATGAGCAGTATACTAAAGACGCGCGTAGGCACTAACTGTAGCGCCTGTTGAATACAACTATTCGTTCCCAATGGATGTGCAAGTAGCATATCCAAAAATTGAAGGGGCTTGATCTCTCTGATCGTCGAAACTAATTTATTTTACGTTACGTGCAGAAAACATGCAACTGGTTGTAAGAAACTACTAAGTCTTGGACTTGTCATCGTTGTTTCAGAACTGTGCTAATAGCAATGTTGCTAGGTTTTAAATAACCGTTTTATTACGTGTAAGAATGTTCAATGAAATTGGCATGCTATCCCATGTTCTAGATCCAGTTTACAACAGCCTTGATTTTGGGTATCAATGGAATTCGCTCCGGTTGTAATTTCCCGCTATGGATGCAGTACTTACTTGTTGTCTACATGATTTCTTTCATCGTGTTATTTGGAAATTTCTACGCTCAAGCCTATTTGAAAAAGGTAACCGCGTCACAAAAAAAGGTGACACTTGTGTCTCTGAGTAAAAAAAAAAAATAATCACTATAATATGCAGTTTGTAAAAAATAATATTCCACCTTGAAATGTTTACTCTCGCCTGAACGACAGTTGCAACAATCATTAAATTGTTAGGTAATAAAGGGGGTCTCATTTTTTACCTCTTTCCGAAATTGACAGTTTTAATGAATACTTGCTGCTCCTTGCCGCCTTCGAAGAAACTTTTTTCAGTCAAACCTAAAGGATAACCGTATGACGTATCTTGGGCACTGTCTTTACCATCAGACACAGCTCTGTTTAAAAAAATCGAGAATAGCCAGGAGGTGTTAAAAAATTGGTGAAAATAAAACATTCAGGTGTTCTAGAAACAACATTATGGTGAACATTTCTGCTTATTCTGAAAAATGAGTGAAATAAAGAACACTCCGTCCTTTCGCTCTCTTTTAAACCTCAATGTAGCTGTACTTAACTACTTACCGCTGAAGGTAGATAGTTTGAAGGATAAATAAACGCCAAAATAGAGTCTTTTAATTCAGAGCAATAAATTCGACGCCTCAGTTCTTAAAGCAAAAGTCTCAATCGCCTTGCATTAATTCGAACGGGTTGAAAACTTAAAATTTTCATTTATTTTCCTTTTTCAGGGCCAGGATGCATTTCAACGAAATATTTGCAGCAGTCATCTAATATCGAACGAAGATTACAACGAAATTGAGAATCAGGATGGCCAAGAGGGGAAAAAGTCGAACTAACCGAACACTCAACATTTGCGATGGCCAATGCACGATCTTATATCTTGCGCAGATTTTTCCTCGTGATGATACTTCAAAGAAAACTATTTCCTCCATGCGGCATTGGACGAAAGAAAAAAAAACATCGAATAATTTAAAAATGATCTTTTTTAGTTAAGTCAATTATAATGATGAGATTGACAATAATTGAGTTGGCTCACAATGATTATTGCGGAACTCTAATTTCGTACAATTTTGAAATTTTTTGTGCAACCGAATAATTTTTTTCTCTGTACCTTTTCGTTTAGAGTATTGACCTGTAGGTGAAGTGTAAAAACCATTGGATGCCTCAAGCCTCATAAAATGAACTCAGGTGGCTTTCATCATCACAAAAAAAAATTAGGGGAGATCAATTATAGGAGAAAAAAGTATTTTCAAAAGGTTTGAATGTGACAGTAACTAGATTTCTATCATGCCAAATAATTAGGTCATAAATACGATACGAGCGTAAAAGTCCTCCAAAGTTAGTCTTCCCTACCTCTCTGATGCCTTTTTTCTTCGATGAGGGAAGTATGAGAACAACATCTTATCAGACTGTGGATGAGAGATTTTTCTTCAAATGAAAATCATTCCATCCAACATGCCAACCACAATCGGGTCGATTGTTAAATCGTTATCGAATCACCTGCATCGGTTTATCCCTCTTAGCAATGGTTTTACATAGATCAAGCTCGATTGATAACGATTCAATAATCGACCCTAATGGGTTACTAGAAGGGGTCTGCGATAGAAAAACACGTAACAAGTTATCTCTTCATAACCGTTTATACATATAACCGACCCTCATCGTAATCAATTCTCCATTCTCGAAATCGAAATCTTAAATCAAGGCGATGGACAGGTATATGTATATTACCGTACAACGAAAGTTTTCTTGCCTAAACGGAAAAATGAAGGCGCGCTTAGCCCGTTACACACAAGAGACACAAGACCCTCTAAAGCAGGAATCATCATCTCAGCAGCCCTGCCCAAGTAGTCCGCTTAACGGACTCCATGTTTTTTGGACGGCTATGTAACTCTCACAAAAATTGCGAGTAAAACTCTAAAGACCAAGTGCAATTATTGTATTGTATTAATTCATACCTGATCTCTTGTGAAAAACTACGCACAAACTTTCTTTTTTTTCATGGTTTTATCAGTATTATATTTATTGTCCCCTCCAAAGAATCGTTCTTTTAATTTTAACTTTTATCCTCGAATACGAATGTGTAAAAAGTTTCAATAAACGAATTAACCACATACTTATGTATTCGTAGAGTTTTCAGTGCATTGAATCAACCAAACCTGTCTCCTTACTCGATTTACATTTCACAGACTAATATTATCTCGGGCTGAATTGAATGTAAGCGTCTCTCCATTTCACTTTCCCCCCGTAATCCCATTATTCCCGTAGGGAGTAGTTAGTAGTACTTCAAAGTGAAATTGAGTGTATGAGGCGTAGAATAAATTGAATGAACTCAAGGACTTTGCTTTCAGTGTTCTTCTTTATAAGGAATCTTCATTATGAGGAAACAATATGTATACAATTTTGATTTTTCCCTGTCTTCCGGTCAACGAGAGTTCCACCAATCGTATTCTTTCCCGCGCGAAACGCTGATTGGCCATTGCACCGAACGAGCAGCGAGTGGCAGGAAATCTGCGCGGGCAGGGAAAATTAATGCAGTATTTTCCCCTGCTTTTTGATGCGAGTCGTGTGAGCATCTCTCGAAATTAATCGTTCATAGTTTTCATAAACACAGCTTTGCGTCTCGCACACCTCGCGAGATATCTTTCAATTTTTCATAAAATTTTGATTTTTTGCGCTTTCCGGCCGACAGAGGCCACCAATCGCGTATTTTCCCGCGCGCAACGCTGATTGGCCGTTGCACTTAAGGAGCGGCGTTTGGCGGGAAATCTGCGCGGGAAGTGAAATGAGGCTTGTGGAGCGATGAAATAATGTAGCTATTTTTTTCAAGCTCTCCAGCTCTCTCTCTGACAACAATTTAGAAATTGTAGATTGGTGATGGCTTACGAAAAAACGTAGCACACATGGAGCGGTCGTTCGATAGGCGGGCGGGGAGTGGAAATGGCCAATTGCTATCTTCGTCATAACCTCAAATACATGGGATCTTACTGGAGTTTTTACATAAATGATTTGGCGTTGAAATTTTAATCGTAAACTCACTTGAAGAAAGCTAGGTTTCACATCTTGACACAGATTTTCAAACGGTTGGTTGCGAATTTGATGTAAGTCATTGTTCAGCAAGAGTCCCATTAGAAGCCATGGTAACCGACTATCCTCGTCATAACCTAATTGTTGCTCCTAGTGTGTTACGAAATTCACCATTGGCGGAGCATAGGATCCCCCTATCTATAGTTTTTAGATCGTTGCTCTCTAGTCGATTTGTTACCACTGTGAAGAAATTGAAAGCAAACCTCATGCGAACTAATCCTGCGCCAAAAAGTTTGCGCATCGTGTATAGTATTGGCTTTAGTAAATAAATACAGGTTTCAAAGGATCAATGAAATGAGTTCCATGTGTAAGAAATGTAGAAAAATTGAAACTCATTGCAATTTTATTGCAATAAATTTCAATTACTTAGTGACATTCCTTCACTCAAAGAATGGTGAATAGACAGCATGCCCACGAATGGAGATAACACTCCGATATTGTAATAAATTTACAACATGATTTCAACTTATTACGACCTATACTACTTGGGGAGGACTTGAAAATTTGAATAAAAATTAAATCATATTAAAAAAATGTTTAATTTGTGATTACCTATTAAAACGGCTATTAAAATGCATCCATCCAATCATGCAAAACTGGGTTCGGTTAAAAGGTATAACCAGAAACTTCGAAGTTATTCAAATAAACTTTTTATTTTTAACAATGAACATAAGATATTAAAGTATTTTTGGTACAAAAGTTACAGGTTTCTGGAAAAAGATTGTTTCCAAACTTCATCCTTCATAAAAAATTCTAATTAGGTTCTTTGATTGATGATTACTTTTCATGGTCAATGCATGGATCAAATTTGAAATTAGTTCTAAATACTACAGTGTAAAGCCTAGTTCTCATTAAACATATGATGAACAATGAAATAAAAAGTGACATTTTGAATAAATAACCGGACGGTAAAAAAGGAATTACTTACAACAATTCAATAATTCAATTTTAAGGGTGAGTTTAAAAGAAAAATCAAGTTATCACAAAATTTCAGTTTAAAATGATTGCAATCTAATGCTTGTAATAAAATCTGAAAACTTAGAAGAAAACCGATTACTCTGCAACTGACTTTGACAGCTTCTGTAGAGAAACAGCTAACCTTCATTATTGTACATGCCAAATTTTTAAGCTTACTGATCTATTGACTTCATTGACTCCAAATAGGGTGAAAATAATACTTCGGAGACTTGAATAAAAAATTATCATAAAAACACAAGTCTTTTATAAATAGATTTATCTCCACTTAGAAACAGTCCATAAAAACCAACATTACATGCATTCGTTTACTTAAAATTTTTGGGGTATGACTGTCTTGCCTGCTAATTACTGAGACAAGGCTCGAACTTTCAATCGAGAAAAAACATAAAATATCCGAGAAAATTATCCAGGACAATGCTATTGCACTCAACTGTTAGTGTTTCTTCAAAAAAATCCCAGCCTCCATAAAACTAAGTTTCCCCAGACTACGAACACTGCATGCCCAAACCTGCTTGAAGCATGCTGAAAACTGAATAGCTTTGAGGCATTATACAAGAGATGTACTACATTTTGCAATAAGAAACTATTACATATTTCTAGTTCATTTTGGGAACAAGGTATATGCTATTAGTTTCCCTATGCAGATAGGTGCTTTCTTGTCTACGAAGCATAAATGATTTTTTCCCTATTGCAGATGAACTGTTACAGTGTTACACCAACTGTTGACCTAAAATTGAGACAAGAATCCTCGATTTTGAACAATTACTAAAGCTTTGCCTTAAATTGGTGCTAATAGTCTAATTAAGTGTCAGGATTTTCCACTAACACAGATGCTTCAGTAACATTGATAAATAAAACTACTACCCCATACGGTAGTAATGATACAAATTTTCAATCAGCAAAGACATTTGAGTCAGTGCAGTTAGTACTATCTTAGCTGTTTGCAAAGAACAGCAACTGGCAGAGAAAATCAAGAAACCAAAATGGAAATGTCTGACTTATAAGTACGTACCTACATATTTACACAATAAAAAACCTTGGCTTTTGCAACAGAGTACAAAATATAAAAATAACAAGCAATGCTTAAGATCAATATCACTGTAGATAAATATTCATTTGCAAAGCGGACTGAATCAAAATTTTTATTCCCGGCATAAAACTTGCTATTTGTGCGAAATCAGGGCCAGAGGCGAGTTGAGTGTAGAGAGCAAGGGCACTATTGTAATCTCCCATTTGAATTAATTGAACTAGTTGATGGAGACTGGATAGTGTGTTGTTTGATAGCTGAAACCAAAGAAAAATTAGATGTTGAAAAAAAACTGGGAATTAAATGATAAGATGTAAATAAGTATTCAAATATGAAATCATCCGTTTTCTATTCTAATCTATTTTTAAAAGTATTATATAATTGTATAATTTTTAAATTGTCAAAATAACTGCTGAATCTAGCATTCAACAGTTGGCGAGGACAAATGAAACACATCAATGCTTGAAATGAGACAGTTGAGTTAGTTTTATTTTTTTAAGGATTCCAATAATTGGGCATACATTTGTAAGTTAATTCAAAAGTGCAAAATACTTGGGTAGCCATCGAGGAATTGGAGTGACACACATGCAAATCTAGCAAGTTATTACTCCTAAACAATAGGACTGCAGAATCAAAAGTAACAGAATACGCAGTGGCACTGAAATAGTGATCAGCTTTAGATTTCAGGTTGACTTGAGCTCGGAACTGTTACCGTCATCTTGCTTACGTCATGCAACTTGTGCCTTCTGTGGATGCCTGGGAAGTGGTTCTGTTCATCTACCTTTTCGGCATTTTAGGGCATGTGCGAAATAAGGTGTTATTCCTTCTAGAGGACCATTTTTAAAGCTTTCAACATACTCATCATTTTCTAATGCTATGGATGGCAAGAGACGACTATTTGCGAGTCAACTTTTCTTGAATCTGAATGACTCATGGAGGACAAATATTTTTGATAAAGAGAACAGCATACCTTAGATTCTCGTAGAGCATCATAAAGCGTTTCCAACTTGCGAGAAATTTCTTCCAGTTTTCTTTTCGATTGCTGGAAAAAAAAACCTTGTGTTATTTGCAAAAATTAGTGTTGGATGTTGTTGGTCAATCAAGGGTGCTAATCGAATTAATCTAAGTAAATGAGAGATTTTTTTAAAGGAGCAGACCATCTGAGAACAACAAAAACTGCATGTCTGTACTAACAGTAAAACGAATAGTTTTAGAAGTTAATATATATGTAGTATTAATTTGATTTGTTCAGTCATTTTTTTTTTTTTACTTTCTCTTTGGACTTTCAAAAACCGAGACAAAAATTGAGAATGGAACAAGAAAAACATGTATGCAGGCTGCAGTGTTTTAAAATTACGTAAATATTATTTAGAGAGGATATAACCAGACACTTTGGTATAAAGTTTTCTGAGAATATTTTTGGTAGGGTATAGATAATCTATGAACAAGTCATCCTTGAAAAATACAGAATGAGACGAAAAATCTGCGACCTCGCAAACTAAGATACATGATTCGAGCCATGATTTGAGACGTTAGGCATGGCCCTACTTAAACCAATCAGACGAAGAGAATTTACAGGGACTTGAACAACTTTAACTTTGCAACATGAAAACATAGCGATGACTGAGGAACAATACCACTTATCTGCAAACTAACAATTTTACAGAACGATGAAATAGCTTTGCCTTTTAACTTTTTAGTATTTTGAGGTTGGGTTTCCAATTTTTTTATTCATTACAATGTCATTATAGCTGTTCTATGCGGAGTTTGAAAAAACTAGAAACATTAGCTTGCAGGTTTAATACTGTAGAATGTGGCGAATTTGCTCGCTCATTTTCGCCAAAAATGAGCGGGCATTTCATTTTTGTCAATTAAGCATAGTGTTTCTTAGCCCTTGATATCTCCTTAACCTTGCCAATGTGGGTTGAAAATATATACTTACTGGATTTTGGGCAGTGTTGTAACATCTATTTCTCAGATCCTCAAGAACAGTTTGAAGTTGTTGGTGCTCGGCTGGAATTGGAGCTTTTGGACGAGGAGGTTCAGGCTCACTTTTCATTATTTCTGGTGCATGAGCAACCGCTTGCGGCTGATAAGTTGGCTGATAAGAAGGCGTTGCATTAAATTGATCCCTGTAGCCACCGTTCATCTGTAAATCCATTTTCAATAGCATTTATTTTTTAATTGAAGCTGGCAAACATTATTCTTTGCCCCTACTTATTTCATTAGTTTCCATAGTCTAATAGTGGTTTTACTGGTTCAAGTGATAGAGGATGACTCTTGATTACATTATTCATTAAAGACACTTTTTTTTCCCTTTTGAAGGAAAAAAGACGTTTCTCCACTTACTCATGACTGACTACAAGAGAAAAGACTTTAGAACTTGAATATTTGCAAGGAAATTTTTTAGGAGAGCAATTTTCTAGTATTCCCGTTTTCAGAGTCCAGAAAATTGGGGGTTGTCCTGCTTACATGCTAGGTTTAAATAAACTTGGGTTGTCCTGCTTACATGCTAGGTTTAAATAAACTTGGATTTCATATCAACCTGAACACACCCCCTCAGTAAGCTGAAACTTAGTTTCAATGGATCACAAAATAAGCTATCAATTTAGGCATTCCGATAGATGTTTCTTCTACTAAATTGTACTTAAAATACGACTGATCCAAAGAAAATGAATGATGTTTACTCTTAACCAAGTTACTAATGTTTTTATTTAGTATTGGAAACAAACCTGAGGGTAGTTTGTAGGCGGAGACATCACTTGTTCCTGTGGTGTTGCTCCAAACAGAGGGTGAGTGATAGGATTCTGCGGTGCAAAATCTTGTCTGGACTGAAATAAAAATGGAGGAAAGAAAAAAAAATTAGATTCGTCATGTAATTTAATCTCCCCCAAAAGACAAATCAAATTAAAATTTAAGTTTATCACAGGTTTTTGGGACAATATAAAAAGAAGAAGGAAAATGAAAGCACACCAACGAAAAAAAGAATCTGATTCCTTGGAATTTTTTTGAGTGATAATTATTTGGTTTTGTTGAAAAATAATTCCTTGAAATCTGGAGCGAAAATGATCTATGGCATCCCAGAAGCAAAACGTGCACAATTCAGTTTATTCGTGTGCTCACAGAGAATAGAAAGCAGTATTTTAGTCGACAATTTTGAGCCTGAACTTGGGGAATTGAAATCTCGATTTAGCAAAAAGTTCATAAAACACAAGTCACTATAATGGTACCTAACACATCACCTTTTACAGTTACATTTTGATTTCCCTCCCTCAAGTTCTGATGTCTTATTAGATAAAAATAAACAAATAGGAAAGCGAAAGTCAGGCTCGCCATGCAGAGAGGTTCTCATGGGATGGGTACTTGTTGGTGTCAATAATCCTCTGTTTTAATGCAAAATTTACGCACAACCACAAATTTCAAACATAAAAAATACTTTCAATGCACTTCAAACAAAATATTGGTTAGTTGAAACAAGTTACACGCTTCATTCCGAAGACAGAAATCAATAAAAACGTTCATGAAAGTTCAAATACCTCCTTCAACGATACATGTTTCATGAGTGCACCCCATTTCTTGGTGCCAGCATGTATTGGGGACATCTCACAACTCTTCTCTACGAACTAATCATCAAACTATTAATAATTTTAACATAATTTCATGATAAAAAGTTTCAAAAAGCAAACCTTTTAGGTCTCATGTCTTTACTCTTTGATTCATGGGATCAAACTTCAATTCATGGAGTGTCGGCTCAAAACCCTTTCAGTAAAACATTTTCAAGGGGGCGAGGAAAATAGGGCGGTTCAAATTAAGAACAAAACTATCTAATGGAGAACCCTAAATCATGAATAATTTTAAATGGAGCCTATAATAATGAAAATTGCTATTTCCGAAACTCTACAAACCTCAGTTTGAATTGATGAAACAAAAGGACCTCTGAGAAGAGCTAGAATGGGTAATATTTTAATGTGACAATAGATAAATAAAGAAGAAAAACCAATATTGAGATGAAGAGTCTCTAACACTAGACTTTAAAATTTTAACTTTCGAGTCAATAAAACAACTTTTTGGTGACTTCTTCTTGCTTCATTGTTAAATAAGCTGACAGCCAATTTCTTAAGCAGACTTTTTCAGACTCGACTTTATATTTTAATATAGAGGGTGTCTGCCTGAAAGTTATTTCCTCCGATATCTTTTCCGCCAACATATTTCTGTGTTTGTATTCTTACCATGCCAAAACAGCAAATGTGAGTGTCGCAATTACCTTTAAGGGATATTGCTGCAGTGCTAAAGCTACCTTTCATTTGCATACATTACTTGTGATTTGAGGTTTGTTACATAGTAGATGCTTTGATAGCGCCCTTATTATTTTCAAGCGATGAAGACACATCGCAGAAAACACAGGCTAAAATAACCTGTTTGACCTTGGATGACCGGCAAAAAACAGTCACTGACTGGATTTGAAGGAAGCTTGTACAAAATGAAACCATTTCTATTGTTTGGAAAAAAAAAGGAATGAATAAATTCATTTTTTAGAAAAAAGGCTAAGATTATATAGATCAATGAATATTCAGTTCACTTCCTCACCAAACTGATCTATTTTTGGTTATTTTTTGAGTTCATTCTAATGAAAAAAAAATGTACAAACCTGCTGCCGTGATGAGGCACTGAGAGATGGAGGGTCGTTCCAGCCTGGCGGAGCAGCATTTGTGGCAGCTGTCGGACCATAAGGTCTATTCACAACTGGAGGAACGTCTGCATTAGGAACAAATTGAGACTGAGCACCACCGTACATTGCAGAGGACGCTGGCGGCGTGAATGGCATGGAAGAAGCCGCAACATCACCGTAAGCGGGCTGATTAACATTCATAAAACCTGGATGGGCTAATATAAAACAAACCATCAATTGAATGGAATCACTGCATTTAAGAAAATCTAATGTTGCTCATTATGTCCAAGTCATGGAAATACAGACTTAAAGTGAGAGCTTAAATTTCCTGGAGCAGCAAAAAAATTTGACTCGAAAAAAAATTCTCAGTTTTCTGGTTTTCAGAGTGTTTAAAAGCAAGTATTCATTTCCTAACCCTTCAAACACACGGGGTCAAAATTTCTTAAAGTTTTGTCACCTTGTTAAAGGTAAACTCATAAAGTTGAAAATGAGACAGCTTTTGGCAGGATTTAAGTCAAATTAGGGATTCTGAAAAAATAAAGTATGACTTGAAGTACAAACATACATACAGGTCGCTTTATAGTACTCCCTCGCACGTACACCTAACATCCACTGCTCTCTGCCTAACCAAAACCCTTGGGGCATTGAGCACCTTAACATTTCTGTTTCAATCCCCGCCCTCCAACCTCTCATTGGGCGCCCTCTGCGCCTTCTCCCGTAACTATGACTTGAAGTAAACTCTCGAAAAGACTAAATTCATACAAGCTTACGCACCAGGACCTGTGGAGAATGAGGGCTGAGCAGTGATTGGGGCAGGTGTCTGTGAGCGGTACCCTCCGTAACCACTCTGTACAGAAGGATCTACGACGTATTTGCTGCGACTTGATACACCACCTGATACATACGTTTAGCAAATTAATAAACACTAGAAAGCTTAAAAAGGAAGCAAGGGATTTAAAACACAGTTTCACACCATATCTTTGAATTGATTCTTGAATGGACACCCACAAAAAGTACTCACTGACAATAAATATTGGCAGATAAAATAATAGTAATGATGTGAGGGTCAAATGAAAGTAACAAAAAGATCCCTTCAAAATAAATTCTTTACACAGTTTTAAAACACGGTCTCTTAAGGGCACCAAGGAAAATAAAAAGACTGAACTTAGGGAGACTTTTATCTGGAAATTTAGAGGAGTTATGAGCAGAAATGTTTCATTGCAGAAAGAATGATTTGATTAACAAATTATCGGCCGGGCCAGTCATAAAAAACTTTTTTAGGGGTTCCTCACAGGCCAAGACAGGCATAGTGATCCATCTCCCCTGAAGCATGTATTCATCCTGCTACTAAGAAATAAGATCACTACCTGTGGGCTGAGAAAGTAATTATTGGTTTTATAGTATAGGCACAACCCACAAGTAGTGCAAGCATTGTAGCGGTTTTTGAAGAGCGATATTATCTCATTGTCTTCACATGTTAGTGTTTCTTTGGCTGTTTTGATGGCCTGCTAAGAATACAAATGCACCAACACATTTGCAGGGAACACTGCAGAAATAGTACATACATACCTTGAGCAGATAAACTGGGACCAGGGCTACTTTTGCCACCACTAAAACTTCCTGATGCAGGGAGTGGTGGAGGAGGCAAGGCACTTGAAGCAGGCGTCACAGGATTCAAGGTGCTAGGAGCGGCAGTTGGCGGAGGAGCCATTGATGGTGAATTGAAGCTGGGCTGCATGATGGATGGAGAGAATGGTGATGGGGCAACGGGTGGTTTTGTTGTTGATCCTGGCGGATTGAACAAGGGAGTTGTCTGTTGTGCGGATCCGTACATAGGATTGAGATGATTTTGCTGGTTGTTGACAGGCGGAAATCCTGATGCAGGGGACTTATAAGAAGCTCCAGAGGGAGTGTACTGTCCAAACTGCATGGCCGGGGACTGTTGGAAATTTGATGTTGAGTAAGGTGGTACATTACCCAATGATTGTCTCCCATATAAGTTGTTCGACCGCACTGGCTGTGCGTTTAATTGTTTGTGGCCCAAAGCAATCTCTAATCGTTCTCGTAAGTCGTTTATTCGTTCCTCATCTGAGGAGCGTAAATAGTCCAGAGCTGCTTTCAGAGCACCTTGCGTGACAAGAATTTCAGCATACTGAGTCATAATGATGGCAAGATGTCCAGAGACATTGACTGGTTTACCACGTATCTGCAGGGCCTCCTTCAAAACAACAACTAGTTCAGCAATATCCTGAATTTTTGCTGGAGAGAATGAATCATTTTTCCATGCATCAGCAAGCATTTGGATGTTCCCAGCGCAGATATAGCAAAGCTCTGCTTTTAAGGCACAATTTGGATTTCCTTCCGTTTTCAACCGCTCTCCGAGTTTGACACAAAGAGCAGCTAGCTCATCATCGTTGCAATAAGTCAAGAGCCCTGCCAGAACTTCTTTCCAGCTTGAAACATCACAGGTGGAGACAACTGGCGCCCAATCATTTGTAACGACAGCCGATATAATACTAGACAAATTAGATCTTTGATTCTGCAACAACATAAAAAAGGGAATACTAATTGAACAAACTGATGTGATTAGGAATATGAACCTTGTATCATAGCAGAGGAAAAAGGCTTGAAATTGCGAGTATGATTATTAAGGGTTGGGCCCTAATTTAAGCAATCGATTCTAGGAAAACTTGGTTTGTATAAAGAATTGTAAAATAGTGCTGGCATGAAATATGATATGGACAGATGCAATTTCCAGGTGTACATAAACAATTTCGGATTGAACAAAATAAATTAATTAAGATCCTAGGAGGGCTTGAGCGCAGCTAGTTACAATATTCATTTGACCAACAGACCTGTCTCCATCATATTGAATAAGTCTTTTTCTTAAGCGCATCTGGGTGCAGCCAACTGAAATGGAATCAAATTACTACAGTTAAACACAAGGTTTTACCAAGGTCCATTTTCAAGGTTGAGATAGGAGCATAGGCACTGGAAACCTTTTTTTTCCTATCCTTCACCAAATCTTGCTTGCACTCAATATTCTTACACATAACTTCGGAGTAAGGAACAATGTCAGAGAGCAAAGAGTTGAATCAGGGTTTGCTTATCATACTCTTGCAGCCCTCTGAAGAAACTCACATGAAAATATTTGGATAAGGTCCTAGAGTAGATTTCTTCACCCGCAGTTTTTGCTAGAACCAAAGCGTCCGCAAATCTACTTTCCGATAAGCAGACTTCAACGGCATCCTTGATGTTCCCCATCAATAAAGCTTTACAAATGGTTCCATCAACATCTAAAAACAAAATTAAAGGAAATCATGATCATATGACTTCATGAAACTCTGCCATCTATAACATGCATCACAATTCTTGCAAATAGAAGGCTTAAAAAATCTTCACAAAAACTACATACAAAACTAAGTGCTTCCAAAAATGCAGCATATACAGTGAAACCTCGATATAACGAATTTCTGGGGACTGGCAAAAAATTTCATTGAATCGAAAACCGCGGAAAACCCGATTTTAGGCCACAATTTTTTTGGTGATGTTCGGTTTTTTCCAGTTTTGTGTGTACCCCCCACCCCCTCTTAAATTATGACAATACTTTATGGACAATTGGCGAAAAACACCCGGTTAGCATTTGATTAATAAAACTGCGCAGTGGTAGTGATGAGCACCCGGCAGGGGTTGAAATCGTACTGGTGACACTGTTCACGTAGCTTCTTAATCACCCCATTTACTCAAGGAAACATGTGCGCCTTGGAAATCCCTAATCCCGCCATATCGGAAGATGACTTTTGCACCGACACCGACGTACACTACGCGGGTGAAGACAAGCACACTTTATCCCCAGCGGTGTTGCCAGGCGCGCGGAAATTCCCGTGCATTCGTTAAATAGAGTTTGATTTGCATGGTAAAGTTCGTACTCGGACCGAAGATTTCCTTCGTAAAAGCGAATATTCATTATATAGAATTCATTTCACATTGAAAAGATAGGGATTTTTTCGGGACCGCGAAAAAAATGCATGAATTTGAAGAATTTGTTATATCGACGTTTGTTATATCGAAGTTTTACTGTAGCTAAAAATAGGGTTAAGCAAAGGATCTTGGCAAAAATGACAGCTTTCCATTGACAAAGGACAAAATATTATTGATGTTGCAGGAAGTTCGAACTCGAAGGAATCCTTGTACACATATTTCTATAGGTCTCGGTGGCAATATGGGTGTCACTGAGCTTCAATAATCTACCTTGGATGAATATTTTGAGTGAAGCTGTTCATTAAGATTTCTATTTATTGGATTTCACAGGACTATATAGGTGTTCAATCAAATAATTAGTTGTTTTTTAAAAGGAGTCTTGTCTGTTATTTGATACTGATGTTTTTTCCATTTTTGAGAAAAAAATATGCGGCAAATTCATACCATCACCAGAGGAAATCTTGATAGGCGAACTTTGCGGAGACAACGAGGACCTACTGATGCTATCAAAAGGCGAGGCTGAGTTCAAATTTGTTTCATTTTGTTGCTAAAACAGAAAAAAAATGGAAATTAGACTGCAAAAATTAAAATCTTAGAGAGATTTTGAAATTTTTTACCGACAGTCAATCGAAACTGAAAGTTCTACAATTTTAAAATTACATCAAACTATACAAATTATGTATACACATGATTGAATAAAAACTATGCGAAATTCATGCTTTATTCAAATATGGGGATAAAATGTTTTCTCTCTGATTTGTTTTTCAACATAATTGATTTTTTGGTAGTTATTAGCAAAGGGCATTAATTCGTGAGAAAATAAGAAAGACAAGCATAAGACTTACGTCATTGTTGAACTGCGAGAAATTGTCTTTGGAAAAGTCTCCATCCGCGGGTTGTTTTATGCTGAGAGACTTGTTAACAAGCTTGCTTAACTGTAAAATTAAGTAGATTCGTATTTTATAATCATAACAAAAACAAAAGAAAATTTCAATAGATAAAATATCTATACCTACTCTCAATCACTGACTTCTGATGGTCATGCTGAAAAATAAAGGCAATAACTCTTTAATAAGTCTTTCGGTAGTATTGTAGTACCTTTTCATAAACTCATTAAAGTTCATTGCAAAGTGTAAGCTGCATGTTACACATAAAACGAAGCAACCTATATTGGCAGAGAAAAACAGGGGTTTCTGGACATTCCGTCAACAATTTTCCAAACCTTCATTCTTCCAAGACATTTTAAATTTTCATCCAAAAACGTCGTGAGCAATTGTCGTTTGTATTTTTAAGTGGACCAATTAACTTTAGATCTCAATTGGTAGGTGGACCAAAACTCTCCTGCCGAAAAAACGCATGGACTTAAACTACTAGAAAAAACAGGTGCGCAGACAAAAATCGTTGACAAAATGTCATATAACCAAACCAGGTGACACTCTTCACACTGAGATAAGTAATCATGTACTTAAAAGATAATATCTCACATAGAAAAAAGTTCTTTGAAATATTTTAAGGATTTGCATGATAACTTTGTATAAGTTTTCAGCTTATTTTTTTACAAATTTTTCTACGATTTTATGTTCTCTACAGCATAGATATTGACCCAACTTACTTGATTACTTATTGATTCTTCTGTGAAGCCAAGCAAGTTCAACATTTGAGCTCGTGAATCCACTTGAAAATTGGCACCGATGAAATTCCATATGTCTTGCGTGTGCGGATCAGAATGCGATGCTACTTTATTTTGGCAATACTCTATGTACTGACCAGACTGCAACGCAACTTCTAATTCATCAGACCTTTTGATTATTTCAGGCTCTGTTACAACTTGACTCATGAATACTTTCTTTTCTGCAGATGTAAAAAAAACCAGTCTACCGCCAAACTAAAGAAAACAAACAACAAATCCTGAATTGAAAAACAGGGTAATCTAAAAGAGGAAAATTCATAAATTACAGAAAAAGGCAATCAGGAAAAATGTATGAGTAAACACTTAGATATCAAACCTAGTTATTGGCATTCTATTCAATATTAACTTCAATGAAAAGCAAATCCTTTGTCGATTGACAACTATACTTCAAAGTTTTTCCTTATACAGCAACATTGAATGGGTTTGTTGCACTTAAAAGATACAGCAAACTAAGTGAAATTGATACAGATAAAATTCCACAAAAATTACGTTTTTTAGGTGAAATTCTCTTTTCTATTTTCTTCAAGGAGAAAAAATAAAAAATCGTCATCAAAGGAACTTACAGCAAAAGAAGCTCCTGCAGGCCTAGATAGCCATTTGGGCGGTTTGCGTAAATCTACAACAGAATGATACGTGGGCTGATCGATTGGTTGAGCTTGTGTAAGTCGTTCCATTCCGGGAAATGAATCAGCTATCTGAACACATTACAATAATAATCATGAGTACAATGTAATGGACACCTTATAATAAGAGTTCAAATTAATCTATAACAGTAACATTTGGTTCTAATAGTAATGTTTATAGCAGAGAACTTTGTATGTTATTAAAAGGTATCTGCTAGATCTATGGGAAAGTCTACCTAGAGGAGATACGATACAAACAATTTTTTATCGATAATTTTAATATTCAAAGTATAAATAACTTCAGACTGTATAAAAATGCATTGAGCTTCTACCTTTTTTCAGCGTTATTAAAACACTCAGCAACTTAAAATACCTGAATATGTTTGGGAGCCTTTTTTAATTTTGACCAATTTGACTGCATTTTCAACTGTTCCATAAACTTTCTTTCATTAATATTTTCCGTTCTGTACTGACACATTCTCCTAGGAGCAGGTTTATCGACTGACATTTACCACACGACAACAGACTAAGTATACTTCGGCCCTGAATGGGTTTTATAATTATGATGACAAGGCACCTTTGTATTAAAACTTTTCTGATGATTTGAGACCATTTTGACCGTTTACTTAAATTCACATTTTATTTATGCATTTTGCTCATTCATTCACAAAAATGAAAGGCCCAAGCCCAAGAAAGAGAGAGAAAGTGCAGGTTAATAGTATGAGAACTGTTACCTTGTTTGTAGTTGGAGCCTGACACTGACCACCACTTAGAGAATAGATGCTACAGTGTCCGTCAAAACTTGAATTAGAAATTAAGAAAGGATTCCGTGGACACCAACTAACTTCAAAACTCCACTGATTGCTTGTTGATAGTTCGCAGACTATTTCTCCTGTCTAAAAAAAAAAGAACAAAAACAATGGACAAAACTTCTATGAACAACATTGAGTTTGAAAAATATAATATTCATTGGAAACAGAAGGATTTTAAACACTGTCTCAATAAAGAGGAGAAATAATAGTACTTCTTGTCACAAGTTGGCATGCTTTGATTAGAAGTTGATGAGGAATATGTTAGGAGTATCTAATATTTTTTTGTAGTTTATTTCACTGCAGTTTTGGCATAGGAACCATTCGCTTCTCGACTGATAATCAGTTGCTGTAAAGTAATCTAATGCAAAACCTCTCAAACCTGAAAGTTCAACAGATGCAAGAAGAAAATATTGTCATTTAATTGTTATGTGAGATAGGAAGGGGAAGGGAAACTCTCATGAAGGTTGCAACCACCTTGTCCTTCATTCATGTTATTTTTCTCTGCTTATAGAGATTTATGGAGATCTAAGGAGAGAGATTTAGCCCCCCTTACCTTGAATAGGTATCATAATTTTTGAGCATCATCAGCAAATGCAAGAGATATTCAGTTGACTAATGTGATCAGTATTAAAATGACCACTCGCTTCTTTACACAAAGTGTAAAATACAAAAACAAGACATCTCCAGGAAATGGAGTGTTTTCAAACTTCAGGTGCGCGTGATGAGCGTGGCTGTTTTTGGCACTTCTGATCAGAAATTGAAAAAAGTCTGACGGATTAATTTTCCAATGAATAATCAGAATTAAAAAAATTGGGAGTTGGCAAGTTTTTGTGCTATTTGATTCAATTGCCAAAAATTTACAGGGCTGTGTATTCAACTTGACTTCATCAATTATGGAGGCCAAAACCTCGCTGAAAACAATCATTATGAGTTTGAACACTGCTGCACAGAGGCTAGAAAATGCATCAAAGATCACTTCCGTGAATGACTGTATCAAGCTGATGCAGAGGGCATGTCTCACTAGATCACTGGTGTTCTGACTCAAAATATACAAACCTATAAACTCATGAAAAACATTTTAGAAACTGAAAACGATTGCATTAACAAACCTGATGAGAACTGTTGGGGTTCCACACAAAAAGTTTGTCATCTTTGCCACAACTAGCTAATAGATCTGAGTCTTGACTGCACCAACTTATTGAAAGTACTCCTCTGAAACACGCGAAAAGATCTTTTCATAAGACTATTCTGCTGCAGAGGTTGAGAAAAAACTTTTCTCACTTTTTGGACAAATTTTTTTAAAATTATTAACTTACTTGTTTTAGAGCTTAGGCAGAAGCATCAGTAAATGGTGCAAACCATGCTAAAGTGGTGAGTAAACGTAAGTACCAGTCTTAAATTTTTCTTGGAATACATTGATCTTTACTTTCACCGCTTTTCTGACACTTGAGAATTCTCTGACTTAAGCCTTTTCTCTACTTTAGATTTCTTTTGACTTTTCCCAGTGTGTCCTAGCATTTGCAAATTCCCAAGTTTATTCCTGGTTGTCCCTGACAGGAAACATTTTGTGAATAATCTAGGTTTTTGCTGACTTTATGAAATTTCCTGATTCTTCCTGGTTTTCCATCACACTTAAGAATTCCCTACCTTTTTTAGTTCACTTTTAAAATTCCATGACTTTTTGTGGTTCTCCTTGACATTTAAAAGTTTCCTTGTTTTCCCTGGCAATTCATAGCCTGAAAGAGGACGGCCGACCCGCAAAATGTTGTCCGGACAAAGAAGTAAAACAAAGAAAGTCTGAAGATTTTTAAGTTTGCGATTCCCTTTCTTTTGTTTAGGTGCAACAAGTTAGGCTAATTATCGTTAGAGTCATTTGTAAAATGGCTTTTTTAGGGCAACAAGTATTTTCCTTGGCTCAATCAGAGACTGCAGCAGTTAGTTGTACTCTTGTGGTACTGAAACCAATTTTTCTTGATATGATGTTTAAAGGGACGAGGAACACTTGAAAATTCATCTTTAAAAACTTTAAAATGTTGATTGTTTCACCTATGTTCAACAGTTTGGTCTTAAATATTAGAAGTTGCATCATGTGGACACTGAAAAAAACCAGTATGATAAACTGTGAAAGAAGAGAGGCAAAAGGGATTTATACCTTTGATGACCCTCTAACGTCTTGATTGGAGAAGTAGCAAACCGAAGATCCCATAGCTGTATGACAGGACTTTGGTCTTCTTCAGAGGCTAAACAAAGTTGAGTGGCGACATCCGGATTCCAAGCTACAACTTTCCACCTCACCTGTTAAACGCCATGATAGAAAGTTAATTTCACGTAGAATTTGAAAAGGTAGACAGAGAATGGACAGCTTTAACTGGAATCAACTGAGCTGAATAGCTAACCTAATTTCTTCTTTTGTTTCACTTTTTAATAAAAAGCTGAGCAGAATTCTACCATAAAGTTTTTGTAATTTTGTCCTTATATGATCATTGATCATGTTCTTTATAATCTGGAAAACATTAAGTGCTAGATAAAATTTTGCTAGATCTGGCTCGATAATTTTGTCACCTTCCAGACAAAAAGTCATGAGTGCTATTGTTGATGAATTGGAAAATGCCTAGAATGATTTTTTTGGTTCAGAACTTTTCTGTTTTAAAGATAACAATTTAGGTGTCACATTTACTAATTTTTAACATTTCGAAAAACATTCATTGCCTATTGGTTTATTTACTTTTGCTAAAGAAATAAAAAACAGTTTATTACAAGCACCAATCGGTCAAAAAACAGAGTGTCACAGGCGCCAAAATGGACATTTGACTTGACTTTCCACTTCAAAGTTTATCCAAATCAGATGCTGAGTGATCCTGAACTTGTGATCAAAATTTCAAACCTATGTCGAGTTTATTACAGCCGCAATTAACTTTTTCCGTTTTACAATAGTCTTTTGGAGATAAGCACTCAATTGGAACTTGTGATACTTTGGCCAGGAGGTGACGATTTGCGTTACTTGTCATTTTGACCCGCCATGCATTATTTATTGTGCCTTGAAGATTTGGCGATTCAATGTGAATTTATTCTTACTTTTAAAGGTGATTCTGAATATTCTTCCCTGTGGAGCAAGGAATAGATACTGGTAACACTTCGTAACGAAATCTTAGATAGTTTCAAGTTTTCAATTTTTTCCTGTATTTCCAACAAAGATCACTAAGAGGACTGACTGTTCAACCTTTGGTTTATTTAAAAAGTACGATGAAATTTATTTGGAGGGAACTTAATTTAAATTTTTTATCTGCAGAGCTCTATTTTTGTTTGAAAGGACATCTATTCCAGTTTAATCTGGGTCTAACGGAAATGCACCTAGTCACACCAAGTTTGAACTAAGAAAAAGAAATTTGAAGTTTAGTCCCTCCATTAGACTCAATTTTAGGGGCAAAGCTCAACAACTGTTTAATGTTCAAAATATTTATTCTCTACTAACTAAATTCAAAACCACCCCCGAATCAAATTCCTCCAAAATGCAACTTGATGCAATACTGTTAAACTGCGTCCAAACAATATACGACACATAAGTAAATAAAATAAGGACTTCAGATACTTACACGAGATGTGCTGTCACTAAGTTTGATGATTGGTTCATTTTTCCTTAGATCCCAAACAACACATCGAGTTGGAAATGTCGAGGCTAAAATATGTTGAACTGTTGTGAAAATAAAGGGAGAAAAAAGATTACTTGAGATTTGCAGAACATAAATAAATTGTAATGTGATTTATCAGAAAAACATAAAATGTCAAGCCTTCCCATTTTAAAAACCCTTTGAGGCCTTCCTATTGTTGCTTGTCATCAGTTGCAACTCACCTGGTTGCAAGGCTAGAAGTTTTTTCACCGTTGTACATTGGGGTCCCAACTTGTTTTGATCCCCTTAAATGTAACCAAGGCATACTGAAAGTGTTCAAAATGATCAAGTCACTGGTTATACATTGAGTTAAATTGCACTTTCAATCAGAACTTGTACAAGAAATAACATTTCTGGAGAAATTGACTGCATTTCTAAATAAAATAGTAAGGTCTTAGTGATTGAAATTGATTTTCTTCCAAGAAATTATTGAACAGAAGAAAATGAATGAAAAAACCTATACTTCTATTTTTCAATTTTTGTTGTATTTCCATCAATTAAGCACCATAGAGAAGGGGTGAGTCTTGAAAAATTGCCAACGTCCTATTTTTAATATAGATTTCACACAAGATCCAACAGAGGTAAATACAAGGGTTTATTTTAAAGATGTAGTGACTGAGTAATTAAGTTTTCTTTCCAACTATAATTCTTCAAATTTAGGTACATCGATATTCCTTTGCTTTAAACCAACTATTTTTTTCTTTCAATTCTTCACTTCTCCAACCTTTCAACTCGTAATTGATTCAGAAATGAATATTTGTGCCGACGTAGCTTTGAAAAAAGCTTCTCTTTAAAAAGTCTTCTTAAAATTAGAAAATAGATAGGGGAATACCTTGCGTGTTCCATGCCACCCAAACAACATCTTCTGCAGGCTGGAACTTTGTCCCTGGTGTCATTGGGACACTTGTGTTATTCAAATCCCAAATAAAGATTTCAGAGTCTGAGGCACCAGTAGCAAGAAGGTTGGTCTGAAAAACAACACATACATAGAACAAAGTTTTTGTTTCAAAATTATAGTATTGACAAAGACAGGGGTCATTGAATGTTAGGAGCACATAAAGATCTTTCAGAAGTTAGATAATACGTCGGTTGCATGCAAGAGATGCAGCTAGGTTAATAAACTTTCAAAAGGTAAAATTGCACAAAAATCACAGTGGGCTCATGGAAAAAGTCTGAAATCCACCCCGCAGTGTGCAATACGGTGGGCCAAGAAAATCGCTTTGTCTGGAATCGTTTGCGGATAGAAGGGACATAGGGTTACTATGATGCACATTGCTCTAAATCAAATCAAATTTTTTTAATTTTCCGAGGTTCCAAATTGAATATGTACATTTTTGTTTCCACTAATTTCATCAGTTTGTTGTCAATTTCACCTCATAGTTTTTGATGTATGGACTTTTTGCCCAACAGCTAAAGAAAATACTTTAATTGAGCATAAAAAGTGGCTTTTACCAGAAACTAAGCCCAACACTTTTTGGAGTTCGAAAATTGATGTAGATAATTAAAGTTTCTCTATGCATGCAATTTTTGAACCCTGATAATTTAACAAAAATGCAGGAAGTTATTGTCTAAATTTCCGATACATGTTTGCTTACTAAGCACAGAACTTACTTGAAATGAGTTGAATTCAATAGCCCTAACAGCTCCCGAGTGCTTATCTTGTCTAGCAATGATGCTATTTTCTCCTTTGAGCAATTTGGAGACATTGTACATCTGAACTCGGCCATCATCACAACCACCTACGATTATTCCATCTGCATTATCGGAACCAAGACCACAAGCTCCCCATGCTAACTTATGAAACCTGGAAAAAACAAAAGCAAAGATAAAAAACTTTAGGATATCTATTCACTGACCTTTCATGACAGATTGTAATTCGTAGGATCAGAGGAAATAATCGAAAACTGCGTTAAGAGTCAGTAAAGTCTTAAATCATTTTTGAGATAAAACTTGATGACACTCCAAGAAAGCCTCTTCATATGCAGTGCTATTTTAACGTGCACAGGTGTCTGGATATGGATATTTGATTTTCACAAATTTTGCACGAATTTCTAAGATTAAAAGAGTGGAAAGCGGATTCTACTCTTCCGAAAATGTTGAGGACAAGCAGAAGTAAATCAGAAAGAAAAAGTTTTTGATGGAAAATGTAACCAGAATTTCTGGAGGCAAAATACTTTAACGACCAAAAATTTCATGTGAGTATCATGTTATTACAAAATAGGGATTCGCCTTCAGAACTGACACAAATCTCAAAAAATTGAGTTGGCTATTTTAATAGGTAATTATTTTGAGCTTCTGAACAATTTCTGACTTCCTTTCGTGAAAAGTTAGCTTTTGATAATGAAAACTGCAAGTGAAACGTTAAAGAGATGTTAATACTTGTGTTCATTCGGAGTGGATGCAACTAAAGTCATGTCCAATCCTGGTTCTGTCAAGTTCAAAGAGTAAACTTCCAAAGCGGCTGCGGTGCTGAAGGAGGCATCAAACTGTTGAGCAGCAGTCCCTGTCGCTAGCAAAATTGGGTGAAGTGTGGCAGGAGACCATGCCACATTCACGGTTCGATCCAGCTCCTTGACTTTCATTTTACCGGTTTGTATTGCTTTGCACCTGAAAATAAAACATAAACAAATTACAAATGATGAGTTGATAAGGATGTTCATTTGATATACATTCCATGCAACCAGATCCTATTGCTTTGGAAATGAAATGTAATTCAAAAAACATTTCCAGCTTGAGTCTCATTGATTACAACTGGACATCATTGTCATAACAAGGAACGGCATTTAAGCTTGTCGAGCAGTAAATCCTCCCATGATTACATGTATTGAAGGGGAGCTAGGACAAGTTTCATAGGTCAAGCGCTTTTGGATACGAGGATGTTCACAAAAAATAACATACACCCAAGGATGGTGATTGATGATTCACCCTTCGGAAGGGAATGCAAACAGTAAATTCATACATGTAAACACTCGCCATAACCTAGCAAATTCAAACTGCATTTTGCCTAAAGAGAGATGAATAATCCGTACGATTTTTAGGGAGGATGAATCGGAATCTATGAGTACGGTACTTGCTAAGGATTCAGTACCTATTTTACTCCTAAAGATCTTTACCATAGAATGCGATGAGAGCCTCCAGAGAGTAACTTAGATTCGCCGATCACAACTGAGAGACAGTTATGGAAGTCTTCTGGTAGTCAGACAAATGATTCACCGTTCTTCTTTTGATAAACTTCTAGCTTCCAATTGTACTCAAAGGCCTAGGAATAGATTTTGTTCATCTAGACAATTGGCTCTTATGAGAGTCTTCGCCTGCGATAGACGCAGAGGGACACTCAATAAAAATACCATCTGATTGCCAAGAGAGAATCACCCAATGAATAAGTATTGACATACCGGCAGGTACGCTGAAAGGAGGCCTCATAAAACGTTAATCGCCAAAAGCGGAACGTACATTGAACAAGACTGATAATGGCTCAGAACATCTTGGAGTTGTTGATAACAAATTGTCAAACAGATAACACACACGCAAACTACACTTGTAGAGAGGCTAAAGAATTCTAGAATTACCTTTGAAACTAAAGATAAATCCCAGGCCTTACGTTTAATTAACACATAGAGCACTAAAATAAGTACAACTTGTACTAAAAAATAAAGAAAACGCAATGAAAGAAGAGATAATTGGCTTTTCGGCCGGGCATTACACTCCACTTCCAACGTGGCTTAGGCGAGACGAAGGGCGAGCTTCACAAAATAAACAGGTCGAATGGATCCAAAATGATCCAAACAAAGCACTTGATTGGTTCTTGATTGGTTGATTCAAGCGGCAAAATTCAAACAGACCAATCAAGTGCCAATTTGGTCTCTCGTCATCACTAACACGTATTTTGAACGTTCATTCGATATGTCGCAAAAGAATCATATTGGTTCCAAATTTGGTTCCAAATCAATGATAAAATGAAAAATGAGGTTATTTGTTGTGATACCGATCGCTGAGGTGATTAGGTGAAAAAGCGAGGAGAAATCTCACTTCATTAGAATTGGAAATTGATCGCGAAACTGATTTAATTTTTTACTGCTAACTTCACTTATTTTTCATATTATGGTGCTACATTTGTGTGATATGAGTGTTATTTAGTACCTGATTTGCAGATTTTTAGTTATTTCTTCAGCTACAATGGTGGAGGGAAATAATACAACAGGTGATTACAGGGTTCAATGCCCAGAAATTTCAAGCTCTCTCCCAATTTCTCGAAGAAGTTCGATTCCTGGTCCTGAGCATTATCCTCTCAGTCTCTCTCGACCAATTTTTCAAGAAGTATCTCTCGGCTACCCAAATTTGAGACCCTCATCTCGTAGGCCCATTCACTCCTTCAGCTCACTTGATTTCCAATGTCCAAACGCATCCTCCTCTTTCATTCATCGTAAGCTTTTTTTTTTTTTTAAATTTATTTTGAGATTCCAATTTTAGCCATTATAATGCCCAATGAGTAACATTACTGTGTTTTTGTTATCAGTTGTTAGCAGGGTAGGAACAACAACCTTACTCCACGCTTATTCAATTCATTAACTGTTTTATCTCAGGTTATAGTAAAGAAACTTTGTTGATTAGAAACCATTTACCTAGATTAACCTAGATTCCATTTGCACTGGACAAAGTGAACTCGCTTGAATGGTTAAAGATAAATTTGAGGAAATCTTTGGCGGAAGGGCTTGCAGCCTGATTGTTGAAATTTATGTCAGGACGACAAGATGTTGAAAATAGTTAAGTAGGTACTTATATTACACGAGGTCAGCCTCAGTGGTGTAGTGGTCAAGGCAGTTCGCTGCCAACACTGAGGTCCCGGGTTCAATCCCCGGAGGTGACTGATATTTGAGGACACTCAAATATCAGTCATCGTGACTGTGGATGACTATGCCACTCCAATACCCTGACCCTTCGAGGTTACAGGGTGCGGGAGGGACATAGTCACCCAGTAAGTAATCCGTCTGCACTGTTCGACTGGGTTGTGAAAAATCGGTAATCACTCGTAGTGTGCGCGACTGCCAGCGCTACCTATCAGTGTAGATTGCAACAACACAGTCCAACTCGGTGGAGGCATGGCCGTGCTCCGAAAGTCCGTGCTCTGCAGCGTCTGCCACAGTCTTTGATAAGACCTTCCGTTGGCTATCAGACGGCCGCTGAGCCTTGCGGGAATATAATTGATACTCAATGTGTCAATAGTACGAAGATAAGTTAAGGAGTACGGTCCAACTTCGGGGTGCACGACGGCAGTTGCCAGTTGCCTTGGCCCCTTGAGGGCGCCTCGCCGGCCAGCCCGGCCTTACTTACTTACTTACTTACTTATATTACACGGCACAGACATGATAGTGAAGCAAGATAAAGTTTAATTAATCAGGCTGCAGTGAGGCTCGTAATTTTTTTCACACAACAATTGCAGAAAAGAAGGAAATATTCTTGACTGAGTTTGGGGAGAATACAGAGCAGAGCTTTTGGGTAGGTCACTAGTGGGTATTTGCAGAGCCAGGTTTCATTAGTCTCAGTAGCATTGCAAGTCTTGCAGGCTCTTTCACTAAAAAATGCTCATTCACGAACAGCTCATTTTATTATAAATTAAAATTAACTGAGTTTTATAATTTAGGTACATATGTTTGTAGAATTTTTTTTTTTACAAACGCTAGGTTTGATAGGAGAATTCCATATAATTTATAGGGAGTCCTGACATTTCCTCAGTTTGTTCCCTTTACCCATTCATTTTCCGACTCATAAAATGTTTTAATTTTCTTAATAACTTTTAACATGACCAAGAACTAAGGATCTAAATACCTATTTGTTCCCCCAATTTTGAACTGTTTCACTCCTTTATTTTCCACAATTTTTTGCACGTTCTTCATCATTTGTCAATTCTGAGTACACAAGGCATTTTTAACGCTTGCTGACACTATATCCTAATCATCAAATGAGAAAGAGGCACTTCCACTCCTGCAATTTTTTAATGGAATTATACTTCTTCCTATCACATTTCCATTATCAGTTTATCTCAACATTTATCACGAGCACTTATTCCTTCTTTTTTTAATCCACTATCCTTTCTATGTGTTGTAGGTGCAACCACCACATCCGGACAGATCACGAAGAAATTGGCGATGGGTGAATCAACAAAATCCATAGTAATTCTATCGGGAGTTTTTTTATTGAGCTCGGTCATTCTAGCATCTGTTTATTACACTTTTCCGGAATTAGACCCGTAAGTCATGTTTTAAAGACTCTTTACAGTCATAACTTGTCATACTTTATCTCTTCGTACGAATAATTATATTTCAACTGTAAGCTTATAGTTACTGGTAATCTCTATAAGGGTTTCATTGTGCCCTTAACAGGCCCCTAGAATGCGTGAGATCACAGGACCCAATATAACAGAAACTTACATAAAGGTTATCAACTTTAGAGATTAAATTTCATTTGAAAGGGAAGGGAGCTTGAACTGAAATTTTTGTGGACCTTAAGTATGTGCTGATTTCCTGGTGGTTTCCTGAAGGTGATTTCAGTGAGAGAGTGGCGACAAGGAGTGATAAATGATATGAGGGATTGTCAACTCCCTGATGGATTGTGGGAAGACTGAGTTTTGTGGCGATTAGGCGTTGCAAAGCGCCAGAGAGCGCTATAAAAGCGACTCATGTATGTATCCTATGGAGCTACTTCAATGTTCTTTGCTGCTCAATTCGTTAATTACCTTCGATTTTTTTATGACCCACACTAGTGTTTTCTAAGTTCGGTCTATCGGGAAATTAAGATTTTCCTAAAAAATAGAGTATTTTATCAGGTCCAAAAGTCTTGCAGTAGATTTTATTCAACATTTTAAAGACGTAATTTATACTAATTGCAGATATTCTACCTCTGTTTCAGCTCAGAAAAGCAATATTTTAGATTGCCTCGGAGCTATGATGATGCCCTCAATTTAGGTCGAGTCCTAGAAAGATACACTGAGAAATACTATTTTCAAGTCATTTCTGCTATGATTTGTGTGTATATATTGTATCCTTTTCTTCACTGACACAAAACTGACAGGTTTTGCCATTTTCTGTTCCATCCATCAGTTTTTCACCTCCTGAAAAGAAATTTTTATAGTTGTTGAAAGGCCCTTTTCTATGCTTTAATTAGAGTTCAACAATATTTTTACGGTTGATAATGCACAGGAAACTCTGCAAAACATCCTGCATTGTTCTTTAATTTTTGTTTTTCAGCCTCATCCTTGTGTTGTTTCATTTTCTCTTTTGTTTTTATAAATGAAACCATCAATCTGACTTTTTTGCTATCTTTCAGCCTCTTAAAAAGGTTTGATGTTTTGAATTATGTAGAGAATGGAGTCCCCCTAAAGTCATTTTCTAAGGCAATCATTATTTTCTGTGGCTTTTTCCTTGACATTTGTTATTAGTTTACAAACATTTGCTATCCCAGGGTCAATTTTTCTATCTGTATTATCAGGATTTTTGTATCCCTTTGCGGTAGCCTTGGGTTTAGTCTGCTTTTGCTCAGCAACGGGTGCATCATTTTGTTACCTTCTATCTCAGTATCTGGGAAGGAAATTAGTCTACAAATATTTCCCAGATCGAGCCAACAAATATGCTGTCTTGGTAAGACTTTTACTTTATTTTTACCAATCAATACTTGCTCCTGTGAACAGGAACAGTAATTTTGTTAAGAATTGATGAAAAGAATGAGATTTCCCTTTGAAGTGTCTCTCTTTCTGGTTTCTTTCCATATAATTTATTTCCTGACTGTCTTGTAAGTCTCATCAAGATTTTTTTTAGCAAAAGAAAGATGTCTACAATCAGCCTCTTACCGAATTATTTTCAGTCTTGGAAAAGTTTTACCTGCAAAATTGATCTGCCTGTCAACATAAGCAAAATGGAAAATTAGATTCTCTGAGGACATCAATTAACAATGGAGTTATCTCCTTCTAATTCCTCCAATTTGGCATTCCATCGGATTCGGATGATGGTTTTTGTTTTCTCGATAAATATTTTCATGGACTGAGTAACAAATTTTTGCCTCAATGTAATCAAAGTTAAGACTAATAAAATTGTTCGTGTAAAGTAGATCTCTTTTTTGCAATGTTTAAAATGCTGCCATCTTGAATTTATTTCAAGAAATTTTTGGAACTGGAACTAATATTTTGCAAAAGTTTATTTTTTATTGTTTCAAAAAAGAGATAAAGTCACCATCAAAATCTGAAACTGCGTATTGCCAACTCGAATGAACGGGCATGAGAGAACCATACAATAAAGTATGAAGGAAAATGCAACCCTAACAGCAAAATTAGCAGTTGATTTTTACAATTTTTTTACAACAGCTTGATGATTTATGCAATTTCATGTTTTCAGGTTCGAAATCATAAAGACGATTTGCTGAGTTACATAATATTTTTAAGAATCACTCCATTCCTACCTAACTGGTTTATCAACATTGCAGCTCCAGTCGTTGATGTTCCTCTAGTACCATTTTATATTGGCACTTTCCTCGGTAATTTATCTTCAAAATTATGTCTCAGTTAGCAATTCAAGCACACTTAGCACAATTCTGCAGAACTTAAGCGGTTGGCCCTAAGAATCAGAGAGACTACTAACTCAGATTATCCAAGTGTGAGAAAAAAAATAAGAATCAACTTTTCTCAAGCAAACTGTAGCTGTAATTTTATAGGATGAATTTCAAAGGCCGATGTGATAATCATTTCCTGAGAAATTGGAAGGCAGGGAATCCTTTTATGAGAATATCAACAGTGAAACTGAAAAATGCGTTTCTCAGTTGCGGTGTTTCATAATTTCTGCCACTGTTTCATTTTTTAAAAGGAGACATAACAAACTTTATGGCTTGAAACTTCTACAGACTGTTCTTTGCAAAGAAAAAAAAATGAGGGAAGTCCTCAAGAAATGTCCTTCAGTAGTTTCCTTCCTAGAAAATAAAGTATGACAGAAAGTCTGCAACGCCGCAAACTGAGAAAGGTGCACATTTCTACAGTTTCACCATCAATGTAGTACCAAAATGATATGTATAACTGTTTTTAGAACAAAGTAGCAATTATTTTGTATTTATTCATTATGAGTATGATTTTGTTTCTCTTTAAAAGATCGATCATTTTTAAAGCTTTTAAATACTATTAAATCCTGTCAAAACCTCATGTTTTGTCAATCATCCAGGAAAATGAATTTTGTCCATGAGACTGATCAAAAGACAAAACCTATTAGAAGCATTTTTAAACGTCTTGTATACCATCAACTTGTTTTCCTATCTATTTATTTGATTTTTATCATTTCGCAACAATTTTATTTTAATCTGAGCCAAGAGCTTTACTCTCGGATAAAAAAATTTTAACATGAAATTTTTTCTCGTTTTGTAGGTGTTGCTCCCCCATCATTTGTGGCGATACAAGGAGGAAAAAGTCTCCACGAATTGACAAAAAGTGGCAATACTATGTCTCTATCTTCTGTCATTCTGCTTGCTGTTTTTGCAACAATTTCTTTAATACCAGTATTTTTACGGACAAGGTTACGTGCAAAATTTGATTGAAATCTCAAGATACTGTAATTAATTCTAGTCCTTCGTCTTGGTCAATGTATTCTCATTTTGTGGAGTCTAAAGCACAAGAATTTTTTGTATTTCAATGGAGTAAAATTTGGTACAATTACTTACAGACCATCTTATGGCATGTTGCTGTCAAAAGATTTATCACCCCTCTTTTAATGTAAAAGGCAGGTGTTACACCGTAAAAAAGTAACACTTTATTAAGATGGATGGGAAATTGAAAGTAATTACCGGGAGGAGACCTGTGTTTTTAATGTAATATTATTTCTATTCTTTTTAAATTTATCTGAAGCCACAAAACCATTCGAATTGTTTGTGGTTCAAAATTTGGTCAGGAGGAATCATTCCTCTACAATGTCAATGTATTTTTGAGGTGACAAGAAACTTTTTAAAACTGATCAAGATTTTAAATTTATCTTGAAAACATAATTTCATCGAAATGGTGGTATTAAGCCCAATCCACACAGTTTTATTTTTCATCCAACTTTTCTTTCATTTCCATTGCATGGAAATTTTTCCTGATTGAAATATGTGCACAGTACAAATTTTCACCCATGAAAGTTTCAAGAAAAGTTGAATCGTGTGAATTGGGCTGAACAGTTCCAAGAAATGTGACTAGTTCTTTTATTATTGCTATTTTTTTTCTTTTTTTTTAAAAAAAGAAAACTTTTAAAGAAAATCAAAAATTCTAGACATGGGGTAAAGCCAGCTCCTGGAACAGGAGAGGAGGATTATTTTTATTTTTTCTCTTTTTAATTTTTTTCAGAAGTCAATATTTTTATTTACAAAATGGTAACTTTGCTTTTGTTTATATTTCATTCTTTTCATAGTAGAATTACGAAGTAAGACCAATGAAAATTTGATTTTTAAGGGAATAAGTCTCATTCAATCAGTTAATCATTCTTCTGGGCTCACTTTCAACAAAGAGCTTGCTAGTATTTACTGTTAATTTAATATGAGGGCCTTCAAAAGAGCTAGATTTCCTATTTTATAAGTATGAAATAAACAGAATAAATGGAATTATTAATAGGTACATATTAAGCTCACTTTCAATTTTGGACCACATCCCATTGACCCCTGACCCACCGACACTGAGCAAATGAGTTTTACTTTTCTTCATACTTCTCTCTTTTTTCTAATTTTACTTATCCTTTCCTATTTCAAGTGAAGTTTCAAAGATATTGTAACTACCGCATCAAGCTTAAATTCTAGTACGCACTGTTCCCAAAATTTTAGTGTAAACATATGTATCTTCCTAGCTTGGTTGCGGCCAATATGTGCTCAAGCTGTAAATCCTGATAATAACGTGCTTTATCACATACTCAGGATTCTTCAAAAATTCCCGTGAAAGATTTTTAAGGAAATTTTAACCAAGATTTTCTAATATTTCATTTTAATTAATCAAAATAATGACTGGGGTGATTATGGGCGTAATCTTCCTTCTCTTCCCTCCCCCAACCCCCCCTTACTGGTTTTAGGCAGGCAAATTGTCACAGAAGGAGCCTAATACATTCATGAAAATTCTTTTTTCTTTGTCATTACTTTTCAGTTTATGTCAGTATAGTTCGCCCAAGAGATGAAATGATTTTCCACATTTTACAATGCACAATTTTGTCAGTACTTAATTTTCAAGGCTTTAGCATTGAATCAAGCCTAAAAATCATGTGAGGGAAAGTATTTGTATAGCATCTTTTGCTATGATTTTTTACCTTATTTATATTTTCTTTTTTTATCTTAAAAAAAAAGAATAGGTAGGCCATAAAAAAAAAAAAAAAAATTCTGTAGGATATCTTGGAGAATCACTCTACATTCCAACAGAGATAGAATTTGTATGTGTCTAGAATTAACCTTTGTAATACATATTCGTTTTTAATAGTTATTATCTTGATATTTTATTTAGTTATGTTTTTCCTTTTTATCAGTTTGAAATTTATTTGACACATAGGGAAGGCCAGGTGGAATTTTAATTTATCTGATTTGTTATCCGATTGCTAAGAGACCATACTTCTTTAATTGATTAGCAAACATAGAATCTGTTTTGAAAAGGAATTCTCAATCAATTTGTTTCGGAATTGATTTTTGACTCAAATCTTAATTTTAGTAAACCCAACTTTAAATTTTTTTGAATTTTTAAATTACCAACGACATACCATTCTGCCTTTTTTTGTAACTTTTACTGTGAATTTCTTTGCTGCTGGATATTGTAATATCATTTTATCATAATATGCACCAGCATTACTTATTTGACGCTGATGCAAATTTTTTTGTCAATCCTCCGATTTGATTTTGGATTCTGTTGGAAATCAGCTGTTGGTTTTTGCAGTGATGGAAACTAGCTCAGTAAAATATGCATTTATGATAATAAATAAATTGACAAGACTATAGGACTATATTGACGACTCTTTTACCCTCAGATTGCATCCTCTGCTCTATAAAGAATCCAGACCATAGAAAGTTAGGATCGGAATTTCCTGATGCTTCTTTCAGAAAATTTTATGACTTTTGAGACAGTGCAAGATAAATACAAATTACTTGAAGATTTTCTGATTAGGCTCTTGATTGCACCCTCCTGCTTCAATGCAATTCTTTTCCTAGCTTTTCATGACTGTGGTTATCCTTAATCCTCCGTAAAAAAAGAGGAAGATAACCTGATGAGAAGTCTAATGTAGGTGACGAAAAATAAAAAAAAAACTGATAAAATTCATGTTTCATTACTTGATACATATATTTATGTAGAAAAAAAATACCTAGAAAAAGGAACACATTTGCTTTGAAAAATACTTAGAATCAAGGTTTGAAATTTTGATAAAAGTTGAGGAGTGTTGTTGGTGTGCGAGGAGTGACAACAGTGAGCGCATAGTCAAAATGAGAGCGAGAAATAGCCATTGTCTCAAGATCCTCTTCAAGAGCTTTCAAAGCTGCCTCATGGCATACCCCAACCAACTGAACAAACAAAAAGGTAAGGTTAGTATACTTGAACATAGATTAAAAGCAAAGTCGACCTGGAAAGAGTTTACTATGCAACACATTAGAAACTCTAATATCATCTGCTGTGGGTTTGGAGAAATAGATTGGGGAGGGCAAGAAAGGCTGAGTTGTAAAAACTGGATAGCCTTGATAGCATCTTAATTAAAGGACTACGAAGAGAATCGGAAAAATTTAGCACCACCTAAATTTCGAGTTTCTTATTAGGGTGTTCCTAACAATATCTTAGGTAAGACGAGCTTTCAATACATCACTGCATATGCTCCGAAATTAGCGGCGAGCAGTTGCACCGTCAGAGGTGCGCCTGCAGTGGAAAGGATACTTTCGGACGCTGCTCCGTATTGGTTTTCATGGCAATGTATGTTCAGATGGAAGCTCAAGAGACTCAACTTTCAACTCGTTCCATTTCGTTCATAAAAATCTGTGAAAATTCCAGAAAACAAAGCGAAGTCTCTACTTCTCAAAAATGCAAAAATTAGCTCATTCTCTTTTGTTGGATTAGCCTGAACAACTGATGTAACGTTCTGTTCTCCATTCTTTGAATTTCGGACTAAGTAGAAATACTGAGACCATATTGTACCCATCTACATCACAGAGGTACGAAATTGGAAACTGTCACCACATTTCATTCTCCTTTGGGGCTTTAAATGCTCGAGAAAGGATCCTATTTTTCATTGAGGTGCTAAATCTATGAAGATTTTTCAGCAAGGGAAAAAATAACATAAAAATTGTTGATTGCTCTAGAACACGCCTTACAACTTGCTTAAAGGTGCAAGGTGACAAAGCATTGACAAATTGCAATTTCGTGAAGATAGCCTCCAGAATTATGTTGCTGGCTATAAAAAATAGTACAAATAAAAAGCATACCTCTGCTCCTGAATAACCAGCTGTTGCGGTGACCAACCACTCCAAGTCTACATCTGAGCATACAGGTGTTTTTCTGAACTTAATGGTTAATATTTCTTTCCTTGTCTCTGCATCAGGTAAAGGTATATATATTAACCTGTCAAGTCTTCCGGGTCGAAGCAGCGCCTAAGTTATGAACAGAAAAAAATGGTTCGAAGTAAGATCGTGAGGAGATCAGAAATCGTTTCTTTCTAATCGAAAAAAATTTCTATAAATGTCACATTGGAAAGACTGCAGATCTTTTTCAGCATTTACATCTCAAGTACAGGTGTCTTGGCAAGAAAACATACAGGACTAACTTCTTCAAAAAATTGGATTGACACTGAAGGAGCTACTGTAATTACCACGTTCCATCACCTTAGATCTCCTACATTAGGAGGGAGGTATAGATTCCCTCTATTTAGCAAAAGAGTTCAATGATGGACCACTAAACCGGCAATGGTGTGCCGTTCTGGTAAGCAAAGCAAGCCATCCCAAGATTTCAGAGAAAAGAAGAAAGCCGTCCCCGAAAAATCAGTTGAATTTTTGCTAAATATGATTGTTAAGAGGTTTCCACTTAGTTAAGTGTAGTAAACACAAAAGGGGAGAAATGAAAAAGCGCATGAAACCACAATAAAAAGCATGAAGATGGGCTGATAGAGGTGCTAAAGTGGGCTGCGCAGTCAGGACACAGGCCACTTTCTGCCTCGGAGAATCAACTGTTGTAGGCTAAACAAAGAGCTGCAACTCAATGACAGAATCTAAACAGGGTGAAAGTGCGATACGCGCAGAGTTTGAGCGATTCAATGCTCAATCGGAGCTTGCTTCCCTCAAAACTTGTATTGTGGTGCTTCATTTTGTATCCTGTATAGTACATAGTTCACTTTAATAGAGTATTCTACTGGCATTTTTAAATTTGAGTGATGAGAGATAGAATTTAAAGCTGCAAACCAAGTCTATATGCCCGAGAAAAAACTACTAACCTTATCAATTCTGTCGGGTCGATTTGTGGCTGCAACCACAGTTACACTTTTCAACGGGGAGACTCCATCAAGCTCAACCAATAGCTGAGCCAGTACTCTTTCCTGAACGTTAGTTCCGCCATCACTAGTTGCGTCACCTCTCTCTCCAGCTAGAGCATCAAGTTCATCAAAGAAAATTATAGATGGAGTTACTTGTCGAGCTCGGTAGAATACAGTGCTCACAGCTTTCTCTGATTCACCAACATATTTATTCAACAGTTCAGAGCCCTGAAAAATTAAGGAAAAAAGAAATTAAATAAGATAGATAGGTTAAATTAATAGATGAAGAGAAGATATATATTAATCATTAGCAATAGAGAACGAGAGGTAGAATAATATATACATAAAGCAATATAGTTAGTAATATTTAAGTGCTGACATAAAACAGCACTTAAATATGTTAAATTAATAGATGAAGAGAAGATACATATTAATCATTAGCTTGCTGCAGAGGAAAGGTGTAAAAATTAGATAATCAGAGCAGGTTCCAGTATTTTCATTATATAATTTGCCCGCTCATAATTGATTTTTCCGGAAAAATGGGAAAAGTTTCTCAGTGCGAAAGAAAGTCTCATTTATAATGTTTTCTGTAAAAAAATAGAGAATTCTCCACTTTCCAATTGAGTCTCAAAAGCTTGAATTTTTTTTAAAACTGTGTTTATTGCTGTTTTAATGTTGATATGATGAAAACTGAAGTCTAGGGCCTTGTCCACACAAGCGCAGTTTGCAGAACTTTTAGGCGAATTGCTTCATTGAACTGGGGTTTTGCAAAATAAGTTATAACTGAGTTAAAATAAGTCCTAGGAACAAGTTTACCCAAAAGTTCCATGAACTGCTCTTATATGTACTATGATATACATTTTTCAAATTTTTGCTTCAATTCAATTATACCTAACTGGAGGCGAGAAAAGAAGGTGGCACGAGAATACATCTTTAAAAATATGAAAATACCTTTGCTTGTGATCTGATAAGTTTTAGTTAATTGATGATTTCTCAGCTGAAAGCTTTTCAACTTCTACTGATTCAACTGTTGAAATCTTGTGTTCTTCAACTGAATAAGGCAATACAAATGTCAAATGAAGTTGAGTGATTGGTCAGCTTTGTCGGTTATTTTCTTTAAAATGCCTGTGTTGGGTGGCTTTGACAGCAAGCTATCAGCAACTCAAGAGAAGCCTCTAGCTTGTAGTCGATTCCACCGACAAAGGACAACTAATGGAGCTGACAAATCACAGAACTTAATTTTACCTTGACCTTGTCTTGTCCAGTCAATGAAGACAAAATTTCAAAAATTGGCCTGCTGCCTGAGACTGATTCCATAACAAGAAGTAAATAATGCATAGAGAAAATCCATTTTTGGACGATTAAAATAAAAGCGATCACAAAAAATTTACAAATGATCCAGTTATGATGCTGAGAAATTACCTTGACAGAGATGAAATTTAGTTTGCTCTCTGTGGCAAGAGCTTTGGCTATCATTGTTTTTGAACAACCAGGTGGACCATAAAGTAAAACTCCTGCAGGTGGGCGGATACCAAGTCGCACAAAGCTTTCTGGGTGAGTTAAAGGCCACTCAACAGCTTGCCTCAGCTTCAGCTTTATCTCGTGTTGACCGCCAATATCACTCCACAACACCTACTCAATCAAAAATATTAAGAGAAAATAGGCACCAATGTAAGTAAAACAGCGGTGAGTAACTGAGAATGCACTTTTAATTCTTTTTATCCTAGAGCCCTGCAGGATACCAATAGACACTGTCTTTCGACATCATGACATGAAACTTCCATACTTGTAGCTAAGAGCTAAGGAGCTGTAACTAATTTCACTGATTTGCGATATTCAGAAAAAACTTGGTTTCCACAATCAAGATGAGCCCATCAAAATGGATCATTAATGGAAGTGTTGAGTATTGTCGCTCAAAATTAAGAGGAGCAACTACTTTTTGATCAACAAAAATCGTGAACAGATATCAAATGAATGTCTATTGATACTCTGCTCGCAATTCATGTTGATCCAAACTTAGAGGCGTCTCCTAATTTTGATCAGCAACACTTAACTGTCACATCAATGACCCACTTTAATGGACTCATTTTGATACGGAAAACTAAGTTAAAAACTGCTCGACAGGCATATTACTCCCAATGTAATGAGCAATTTTTAAAAATCTACATCTTGTCTCTGTTATTTGATATCATTTCCAAATTTAATAACACTAAGCCTCTTCTGGGCATAACTTGTCCTGGGGCGTAATCTTAACTGTTTCGCAACAGCAGAGAACATTCCTATTTTCTTTACATGTGACTGGTTGTAGGCAGGGCTTGTTTGTTTGGAATTTTCAGCACATGGCACCACTGTCATAACATCTTATTATGTAACACTCAGAATGTGCTTTGAGCAGAGAGCAACACTCACACAGAGATGCACAGAGTTTTTACCGTCAGTTCAGACTGATTAAGACATGACAAAAAAAAATTCTGGAGGCAATCAGACAGATTAGATAATAAGAGTAACTTACATGAGGCACCTCTACCAGGACTTCCCTCATGGCGGTTGGATTGACAGATGATAGCGCACATTGCAAATGGTTTATTGTTACAACAGGCGCAGACGATGAACTTGTGTGTTCTAACATGGCCCTCGTTCCAGCATGATTGATCACTGCCCCCAAATCGGCACCAACGAACCCGTGAGCAATTTTAGCGAGACTTTCAATTTCAGAGTCACCTACATTGTTATTGATGGATGAAAGGAGCTGCTTAAGGATTTCATGACGTTCTTCAACTTTTGGTACTGGCAATTCGATTTCAAAATCAAACCTGTAATCGAAATCTTTCATAATTCTTCAATATACTATACATTGGAGTCCTTGGCTACTTAAAGTAATAATAATGATACGAAAAAAAAACTTGACATCTACACTGCAATAAAATGACTCTGAGTTCAGTGGAAAAACCTGAATAAACCTGGTTTTGAGGGATTTTGCTACTCAGAAGTTACTTTAAAATTAGGATGTAATTGAGAAAAAAACTAAACGAAACTTTAATTTGCGATCATTTGTACAATTCTACACTTACATTCGAAAGATTGATGCCTTAGTGAGCTAAAGCCGATGCTAACAGTGTAAAATTTTAGGTGAATATTACCTAGTTTTTGGAGAAAGTGAGACTTCACCCTGTTGATAGTCTACTATCATTGAACTAGAAAGAACAACAAAATAGGTCTTGACTTCCATACTGAAGTTGGCTGATGAATCTGTAGATTACATTTGCTAGGTATTGGGTGGATTTCTGTAGATTTTCATTTTGGGAATTTTTTTTCCTTCAAAAAAAATTTTACAGTAGGTAATCCACAAAGCATTTTTTAGAAGTAGTATACTATGTAGAATCATATTTAAGTGGAGGGGTCAACTTCTGTAGGGCCAATTTTTTTTTTTTT